CACAGTGCCACCCACATCCCTTTTGGTAGCTTTATGACCTCCCAAAATAATGCAACATTAGAAACCAGTGTAGACAATAGTAAGCTACAGTAGATGGACCCATGGTCTGACTTGGTACACAGCAGCTTTCCATGCGAAACACAAACTGTGTCTGTCATCCACCAGGGGGAGCACCACTGGTGGCAGAAGAATGCTTCCTAATGTGAAACAAGCAGCAGTTGGGGTGGAGGTGCGCTGAGGCAACAACTTTGATGTGTGTTTTTTTGACACACACATACACACAATTTGGACCCAAAGTTCTCCACAAAGAACTTTCAGTTTAGCCTTCAATCTGTTTACTTTGGCCACTTCCCATGATTCTGTCATGTACTGGGGCTGCCTTGCTTATTCCTTCATGCTGGCAGTTTTATGTGGTGTCTTGCTGCTTTGAATGACCACCACAGATCAACAGAAATAATAGAACTGTAGAGCTGGAAGGGACCACGAGCGTCATCTAGTCCAACTCCCTGCGATGCAGGAATCCTTTGCCCAACATGGGACTTGAACTCATAACCCTGAGATTAAAAGTCTCATGCTCTACTGACTGAGCTATCCCAGCTGTATGTTCATGTCACATCAAACACACTGCTGTTCCAGCAGTCGGTTCACATGTTCAGGGGCCGGTCATTTAATTTGTATCCTGTTTTTCCACCCAAAAGGAAATTGTGCTCAAAGCACCTCATAATATTTTTTTTTAAGTTACCAATGAAGGGGGGAGAGATGTTTTACTGGACTGCTGCTATCAAGATGCTACTTGTGCTGCTGAGGAAGCCCAACACCCTGCCTTATCATTGGCTCATCCATGACAGCAGGACGTTTGCTACTTAACTGTCATGGTCTGACAGAGTAGTGTTGGGAGGTACCAGCTGGGGAACCCCCAAGTGAAGAAGACTCAGAGCCAGGGGTGTCACAACAGGGGGTGTGGGGAGCTGTACGCCCCGGGTTCCATGGATGCAGGGGTGACAAGAAGTCACCCCGCAGGGGCTCACAGGGGCACGAGCAGCCATCGTGCCGCCGCAGCCGCCTTTGGAAGATCCTATGTTTACGGCTGTAGCAGCTCTGGAGGGATCCTGGCACCGTCTGTATGGTGCTGAAGTGGCACCTGCGGCAAACCACTATACAGCGCATGTGCGGCGTCACTACGTATGGCGCATGCGTCGTATGTAGCAACGCCACACATGCACCCTATGGAGTGACGCCCGCCCCAGGTGTCACGGCGCCTTCCTTCGCCCCTGTTCAGAACTAGGGTGGGATGACAATGAGTGGTCAGAGGGAGAAGAGGGAGCAGACTGGGAGGAGGAGGTGTTGGAAGCTGAAGTGGTGATAGGACTTTAGTGAGCAGGAAGAGGCAGAAGTAGAGGCTGGAGAGGAGCTAAGAGGCAGGGATTAAGCAGGCTGCAGAGATAGCCAAGATGTCCCTCCGACTGCTGCAGCCAGCTCCCCTCTCTTCCAGTCTCCCAGAACCAGAAGAGGTATGAAAAGGGCAGAGCAAAGACAGGCAAAATGATGGAGCCTCAGATTGCTTGGGAAGGAACCAGAGGAGGAGACTTAGGGAGCTGTGGGAAAGTGGCGATCCTCAGTCTCCACAACTTCCTCAAGAGTTAACTATACTCTCTAGCCTTTATGCTGGAGAGGATGTAAGCTTAAAGGCACAATCCTCCATGTGTGGTGTATCGATTGCTTAAATATACCTGGACCTGATTTTTTCCCCCACTGACTGTCATCTGCCATAATGGGACAATGTCTTGTACCTGATTCCATGTAAGTCCTTTTCTCCTACTGTCAATGGAAAACGATATCAATCCAAATGTCAAGCATCAAAAATTGGTCTTCTTTCTTATGACAGTAGTGAGACAAATAGTTGCTTCCAATTGGGGGAAAAGCCCTCCCACCACAGAAACATAGGTCCAATATGTATGGACTTTAAAAATATAATGATAATAATAATATTTATTATTTGTACCCCACTCATCTGACTGGGTTGCCCTAGCCACTTTGGGTGGCTTCCAAAAAACATAAAAGCATAATAAAAACATCAAACATTAAAAACTTGATGTGGCATTTGCCCGTTCATTTGAAAATGTCTGTATAGGGGAGAGAAAGGGTTAAAATGTATACCAATAGGAAGGAAGAGGGGAGCAACGTTGTAATCAGAAAGAAGTGAATCTAGCCCCTTCATTAACCCAATCACAGTGGGAGGAGGTAGGAAGTATCCTACTATCCTACAAAAATACAAAGCCGTCTTTAGTAATGTTCCAGGAATAGCAAAGGGAGTGGTCCATCGCATGGACACTGGGGATGCTAAACCCATTGCAATGACCCCTTGTCAGATAACTGGGACATACATGGATAAAGTCTGCAACGAGGTGCAGGAGATGCTGAAGGCAGGGATCATAACCCCCTCAGAGGGTCCCTGGGCAGCACTGGTAGTGCTGGTAGACAAACCTGATGGCTCTATAAGATTTTGTGTTGACTATCGAAAGTTAAATCATGTCACTAAGGCAGATGCCTATCCAATGCCCCACTTAGATGACCTAATTGAAACCATAGGCAGGTGCCATTTCATTACCTGTCTAGACTTGACAAAAGGCTATTATCAAGTAAAAATGTATCCTGGGGACCAGGAAAAGACTGCCTTTAGAAGTCCCCTAGGATTATATGAGTTTAAAGTGATGGCCTTTGGGCTAAAAAAATGCACCAGCGACCTTTCAAAGGCTAGTGGATTAGATCCTGCATGGATTAAGGGAGTTTACAGTAGCTTACCTGGATGATATTGCAATTTTAGTCAAACACTAAAACACCTGGTCCGAACACAAAGAGCACCTAGAGTTAGTGCTACAAAGAATTAAAGAGGCGGGCTTGACCATTAAGGCTACTAAATGTCAGACTGGTGACTCAGAAATCAAGTACATGGTACCTCTGGATGCGAATGGGATCCGTTCCGGACCCCTGTTCGCATCCTGAGTAGAACATAAGATGCGTCTGCACGTGCGCGGGTCACGTTTTGCCGCTTCTGTGCATGCGCGTGACGTCATTTTGAGCATCTGCGCATGCGCAAGCGGTGAAACCCGAAAGTAACATGCTCCGTTACTTCTGGGTTGCTGTGGAGCATAACTTGAAAATGCTCAACCTGAAGCACATTTAACCCGAGGTATGACTGTACTTTGGACATATGGTGGGTGGAGGAATAATAAAGACTTTAGAGACCAAGGTGAAGGCAGTTACGAACTAGCCTACTCCTACGTCAAAAAAGAAAGTGAGAGCATTTTTAGGTTTGGCAGGGTATTATTGACGATTTATCCCTAAGTTCAGTGAACTAGCTGCACCACTGGCTGACTTGACTCGTAAGAAAGAACCAGAGCGTGTGGTGTTGGGTTGAAATAAACGACAGACGAATGGCAAGTGTCATATGGGAGGCATCTACCGAGCATGTCTCGGAGAGTCCCTTTTATTGAATATTACAGCATTACCACATATGTGCTTGTTGCTGATTGGTTAACATGAATACAATGCAAAGGTTGAATATAGGTATTAATCATCAATAGATTAAAGGTTGGGAAAGGGAACACAGAATTGGACAGGCGTGAAACCTCCTTATTAAACTATTAACTAGTGATTGAGTATCAAGACTTAAACTATTACTAATGATTGATATTGCATGACATGAAAGAACATAACTATTGCGTTCCGTAGATGTGGTCAACAATGCGTTAAGAACAGGTCAGGGTACTGAACTCAATGTGAACTGATCAGAACATTCTCAGACTCATGTGCAGAGGCAAAAACTTCCCAGCATCTCCCCCTTTCTTTTCTTATTTGTGAGGTGTTACTATATGGTTTCTGGGTGAATAAGACAAAAATACTTCGGGATACGTGGTATGCCAGTGCATGCCCGAAATAAGTTCGCCAGGGTGGACGGAACAAAAATACTTCGGGATACGTGGTATGCCAGCGCATGCCCAAAATAAATATGCCCACATCTCCCCTATCATTTACAGTTGATGCTGCCATTTCGCATAGTAGGTGGCAATGATTTTATTAGGTGGCAGAGGAGGAGAAAGAAACTGAGACCAAAGTCGCATGAGACCAGGAATGCATTGGATGAAGCAGCATAGCAAAATTAATATACATATTATGACAATAGCATAATGAAAAAGATTACGAAGCCAATTCAGGTTAGGCAACCAGCCAGTGAGCCACTGGGTGAACGAATCCCAGAGGCCAGAAAATCCAACGTCCTGTTTAATGTGATGTGTAAGATTTTGCAAATGAGAAATTTGCTTTTGAACGGCTTTAGAATTATCAGTAATATTGAAGCAACACATGTCATTCACTTGTTCACAGCCATAATGATGAAGCATCAGTAAATAATCAATAGCAGCGCGATTTTGCAGAAGTCCATGCTGGAGTTCACTCTGTTCTTTATTCAAAAGGTGAAGGCGCGTTGTACACAGGTTGCGGTGCGACTAAAATGTAAAGGTGTCAATTGCGCCTGGGCTGGTATAGTATCATACGGACCAGCACCAAAGAGTTGGTTGGCTGAATGTTGTGGATCAGCCAGGGCTACTGCGCTATGCTTAAATTCACTTTCAAAAACCACATACTGAGCCGGGGATAAAAGCATGCGCATCAGATCCTTCCAATCTTGAGGTAGCATTGTGTAACCATTTGCGATCCCCTCCAGCATCCCTAGCACATAAGAAGATTTTAGGCCAGAATCAGTAATGGCTTTCCTTAATTCTCTCAGAATAGAATAAGGAAGCGCCTCGTACATAATCTGTTGTTGCGCAGTGCCAGGGTTTGTATAGGAGATAGGGAAGGCAGACGGCATTTCGCCAGCCCATCCAGCCTCTTCTTCTAAGGAGAGGACTCCCTTCTGCCTAGCTTGAAAAAGCGCAGCGCGCACAGCTCCTGTGGGAGAGCACGCAGGGGCTGAGGCAGGCGAAGGAGGGAGGGATGGGGGGGTGGATGTGGGCTGAGGCGTAGGGGGGGTTAGGGAAGGTTGCGATGGAGGCAAAAGCTTTGGGTAAGGTGGGGGATTCTCTGCTGCGGCTAAAAGGGCAGGTGCCGGAGATGCCTGAGGTCCTAATTTAGCGACGGCATCTGCACATTTCTGCCAAGTGAGCAGACAATGAATTGGAGCCCTCGGTTCTGCGAAGAGAGTTTTTCCGATCTTTTGCCAAGCCTCTATCCCCAGAGAGCCTGCCTCTGGGTACCAGGGGCATTGGCAAGCAATCTCACGTAGCAATCGTTCAATTTCCTTCAAAGAAATATGCGCACCTGCCACCCTCTGTCTAATGAGGTGGAGCAGCTCCTTGGCATGCTCTTTTTGGAACCTTGTAAGTCCCCCCCCCATACTCACGAAGTAGCGCGCTGAGACCTTTCCAGTCGAGTGAAGTACGGAGGTCTGCGTAAAGGGATCTGGCACGTCGGAATCACGTCGGGGTCACCAGATGTTGGGTTGAAATAAACGACAGACGAATGGCAAGTGTCATATGGGAGGCATCTACCGAGCATGTCTCGGAGAGTCCCTTTTATTGAATATTACAGCATTACCACATATGTGCTTGTTGCTGATTGGTTAACATGAATACAATGCAAAGGTTGAATATAGGTATTAATCATCAATAGATTAAAGGTTGGGAAAGGGAACACAGAATTGGACAGGCGTGAAACCTTATTAAACTATTAACTAGTGATTGAGAATCAAGACTTAAACTATTACTAATGATTGATATTGCATGACATGAAAGAACATAACTATTGCGTTCCGTAGATGTGGTCAACAATGCGTTAAGAACAGGTCAGGGTACTGAACTCAATGTGAACTGATCAGAACATTCTCAGACTCATGTGCAGAGGCAAAAACTTCCCAGCAGTGTGGAGTGGACATCAGCGTGTCAGTAGTCATTTGATGCGCTAAAGAATGCCTTGATCACCGGACCAGCCCTCATCACACCAAACTACGACCTAGAGTTCAGCATCTTTACAGATGCATCGAATGCTGGGATTGGAGCCATGCTGTGTCAACCAGGAGAGGAAGACAACCTGCATCCGATCACGTATGTCAGCAAGAAATTGCTACCCAGAGAGAAACACCTTTCCATGATAGAAAAATAATGTTTTGCTATCCTCTGGTCCCTACAGAAGTTAAAACCATACATCTGGGGCTGGAAATTTATACTATGCACCGATCATTCACCCTTGCTTTAGCTAAGGACAATGAGAACTAATAGCAAACTGCTGAGGTGGGTCCTGTTGCTGCAGGACTTCAGTTTCACCATAAGAAGCGTGAAAGGGTTCCTGAACATTGTGGCCGATGCTTTATCAAGAAGACCCGGTGATGAAGGTTAACCATGGACAGTTAATAATTTTTCCTGTAGATAACTGAGTTGCTTTAAATGTTTAATGCAGTTTGATCAGGAGTGTAACTCTGTTCAGTTATCTCTCCTGATCAAACTTCTTTAAGGGGGGAGGGATGTGGCGTTTGCCCGTTCATTTGAAAATGTTTGTACAGGGGGAGAGAAAGGGTTAAAATGTATACCAGTAGGAAAGCCAGAGGCAGAGCCTACCTAAGGGCTTAGCCCGAGGTTTGAGTTAGTTGTTGGTGGGTAGTTGGTTGGTTTTAGTGGGTTGGTTGGTTGGGAAAGGCAGTTGGAAAAGCAGTTGGCAGGCAGTTGGAAATAGAGAGACAGTTAGTGCAGTGGGTTCTTGTGTGAGGGGAGGTAGAAGAGACAGAGAGAGACAGGATAATCTAAGACTAAGAAGGTGAAGAGTAACAACGTTTGGAATGCAGTTAAAGTTTGTTTGTGTCTGCAATAAACTACACTCTTCTTTGTTAATTTGAGAACCTGACTGAGACTAAGTGTTTACCAGGGAGGACCTGGTTGGTGGCAGCAGATTAGTGGTGTACAGGTCAATAGTCCGTGAGATGACCGGGGGCTCTGTACGAACGCCACACTTCCCTATACAGGGCTGCCTTCAAGCGTCCTTTAAAGTTGTATAGTTATTTATCTCCTTGACATCTGCTGGGAGGGTGTTCCGCAGGGAGAGCGCCACTACCAAGAAGGCCCTCTGCCTGGTTCCCTGGAACTTCACTTCTCACAGTGAGGGAACTGCCAGAAGGCCCTTGGAGCTGGACCTCAGTGTCCAGGCTGAATGATGCGGGTACCTTTCAGGTATAGCACATATGGAGAGCTTATCTCAACATCAGAGGCTGATAAGAGGAATAACAAAGAAAGGTGGTTTTGACTCTGTATGGTCTTTATTTACATTGTTTATTAACAATAAGCTTGTCTTTCCATCTTTTACACACGATGAATAGGTTTGGCACTTTAATTTGGCCTAGTGGGACTATCCAGTGATGCAGCAATGGGGACCTGTGGCCATCCAGATGTTGCTGATTTGCAACTGCCATCATCCCACATCGTTGACCGTTCTGGATGGGGCTGCTGGGAGCTGGAGACCAGCAATACATGGAAGGCAACAGGTCCCCCATTTCTACTTTAATGGCTAAAATGGAAATCTATTAAAACTGAACTCTCCTAGATAGATAGATAGATAGATAGATAGATAGATAGATAGATGATATAGAGAAATATGATAGATAGATGAGAGAGAGAGAGAGATTGATAGATGATAGATGTAAAAAATTAGGATGCATCTGCATCTGTTCTCTCATTAAACAAAGAGCAATAAGCATCAGTACGGCTTGCTCACCTCATTGGAAGGACATCACACTTCCACTTTCATGATATAGGGACTAGATATTGTGCTATTATAGATCATTTTGATCTTAGGGAACTATTCCTACAAATATGAGTTTCCCATAGGCATCTGTTTGTCCACCATCAGAACAAGATGCTGGGTTGGACAGGCCTCTGGTCTGATCCAGCACGTTTCTTCTGAGGTTCTTATTCATGTTTTCACTGAGCTTCTATACAAACCACAAGTGATTAGTTCTACCCCTGCTGCAGCAGTATTTCTTAACTGATTACTTGTAGTCCTCCCCCTTTCCTCTTTTTGGAGTCAAGTCCTCTTCTCCTTATCCATTCTCTAATCAAGTCTTAGGAAATAATGATCTTCAATGTAGAACGTGTCAGTCAAATCCCCACCCCCAAGCCTGGAAATCTGGGACTACAGCTTCGGGCACTACCATGACTTAACTATGCCTGAGTAAATGGGTTCCACAACTATGCCGCTATCTGTAGAAGGAGTCTATGGATTGTGGAGACTGACTATGGGTATGGGTTAGCTTGTGTGGCAAAGAAGAAGAAAAATACAACTCTGCTCCCTCTTCCAGACCACAGACTGGAGAATAGTATCTTGGGGGCAGCTGAGTATCTCTGAACGTGTCATCTTGGTGGGATCCAGAGTCACCTGTTAAAAGGGGGTTGAGATTTTTAAAGAGTGGCAAAGAGTAATTTCAAGGTATATGGCAGGGCAAGAAGCCAAGAATAAAATATAAGCTATTAACAGATTCGAAAGAAAGAGGAGGCTTCGCCCTGCCAGATTTAAATTATACTATGAAGCAGCATGCCTTTGTTGGTTAAAGGAATGGATAAAATTAGAAAATAAGGAATTATTAGATCTTGAAGGTTTTGATAACAGATTTGGGTGGCACGCATATTTATGGTGTGATAAGAAGAAAATTCACAAAGGTTTTGGGAACCACATCTTCAGGAGTTCGTTAATACAAATATGGGATAGGTATAAAAATCTTTTGGAACCAAGAGTTCCACACTGGCTATCTCCGTTGGAAGTTATGAGTGTAAAGAAAATAAATATGAGAGGTAATTGGATTACGTATGGTGAAATGGTAATCAACGAAGGGGGGAAATGGAAGTTAAAACCATACGAACAAGTTAAAGAATATGTATATGATTGGTTGCATTATTTCCAGGTTAATGAAATGTTTAAAAAAGATTTAAAAGAAAGTGGTTATGGAGAAAAAGATTCATAGTTTCAAACAGATATAATAAATAATGAATGTAAAATTTTGTCAAAAATGTATAAAATATTGTTGGTGTGATGGCCTGGGAATCCGATTCAGAGGCTGAACCGGAGGAACCCCAGCCTGCACAGGAGTCCCCGCCTCCAGGGCCGGCTGAACTGGGGCAGGGCCTTGGATCTGAAGCACCTGCACCTGTGCCGGACCCTCAGGAGCAGGCACCAGGTGAATCCTCTCTGGCTCTGGAGGTGATTGAAGACACAGTGCCTACAGGTGCGCCTCTCCCAGCCCTGTCAGGGGAAGGTGAGTCTCCCCCTGGGTCCATTAACCCTCCAGCCTCTCCTGAGCTGCAGAGGCTCAGGGCAGAGAGGCGGAGGGAACTGGTTTCTCCCAAGAGGAGTGTTCGCCTTAAGGCCAGGAGAGGCTGGTCTCCTGGGGGCTGGGACCGCCCCTGGCCTCAGAGAAGATAAAGGCGAGTCAGCCCGGTCCCAGGTTGCGGGAGCAACGTCGTTGAAGAGCTGTTTCGGCCAGCACCCTGTCCTGTTCCTCGAGAGTTCCTGTCCTTGCCCTGCTCCTCGCCCTGGACCCTGCTTCGCCCGTGGGGGACTGTCTGCCGACCCTTGACTCAGATCTTGGACCTCGCCCCAAAGTAACCTCCCCCTGGGACCAGCACAGTTGGAATGGAATACGAAAGATGAAGAGGTTAAATCGGTAATGATACAATGGGCCAAAGATTTTGGGTATAACATTCAATTTGATGATTGGGAAAAATTATGGAAAGAAAATTTAAAATTTACTGCATGTATGGTGTTGAAGGAAAATGTTATGAAAATGTTTTATAGATGGTACATTACACCGGTAAAACTAGCACACATGTATAAGACGTGTAATATGTCTTGGAAATGTAAAGAAAAAGAAGGAACGTTTTATCATATGTGGTGGGAATGTAAGAAAGTGAAAAACTTCTGGGAAATGATTTATAATGAATTGAAAAAAATGTTAAAATATACTTTAAAATATACTAAAATATACTTATATAGACTGAAGCAAAGAGGTTGCAAGCTAAAGTCTTGGAAAGCCTTTCATAAAGGATTAAACTTCCAGCGGCTAAATCATCAACCCCCCCTTGGAAGCAGGAGAAGAGGGGGAAAATTTTAGATCGTGTAAGCCTGCAGGAGAGAGTGAAGAAAGTTAAATTACCACCGCTCTGAACCTGGAAACGGGCTGCCAGTAAGACTGAAGTTTTGGATATGCTCATTGACTGTGAATAGATCGTTTGTTGACAGTAAGTTAAAGAAGAGAAATACATTGTTCCCATTGTCTCCTTCTGCGTTTAAAAAGGAGTAAAAGTAATTGAAAATTGAAACGAACTTTATTGTTTGAACTGTACTTAAAAGGTTTGATACAAATAGAAATTGTTTCCCCCTAGAGGAAGCTTTTGAAATTGTTACATGAGCTGAGCTGGGGAAATTTCCACCTGCAAGATAAAACTGTGAGAATCTGGGATTGACCTTGGACCGTTAAGAATGTTGACAGAAGAAGCCTTAGTGGTTGCATTATGTAAGATTAATGATTCACTGGAACAGCTCCATAAGAAGATGGATGCGAGGACTATAAAAATTGATAACTTGGAACAAAAAGTGACTAATTTGGGACAAAAAGTGAATATTAATACAGAAATTACTCAGGAATCGATACAGGGATCTATTTTGACATGGCAAATTGAGGAGAAGGCGGGGGAGAAAGTGGTTGTTGTGGAACCTAAAGCTGCACAAGTGGAGAGGGAGAGAGCCCCAGCCTTACAGATGCAATTTGATGACTATAAGTTGATGCCTTTTAAGACTGAATTTAGAGAAAGTCAGACTTTGAGGATTGGAGCCCCGCTTGGACTGAAGAAGGAAAGTTGGATAGATCCCTTCATGCAGGGATTTATTGACCTTGGGGACCTGGACTTGGGTCAGGAGGAGACTGGAGTTGTGGGGACCGCCAGACTTGGAGGAACTTTGAAATACGACTGGAAATATTTTTTTGAATTTCAGTTTTAACTATGGAGATTTGGCTGACTTGTCGAGAAGGAATAAAAACATTGCTAGATGGGAATTTCCCCGAGATCTACTTTTTAGCATCAAAGGAAGGAAAATAAGAACAAGATCAGGAGAAGACAAAGTAAAGTGCATGTATAAATATGAAGAAGACTTGCAGAAGGGACTTGGAAAAGAGTTAAGAGCCTCGGACAGAAGATCACCAGGTTGATGGACTATATGGAATTGACAGAAATGACTGGCAGAATCCGAGACCAGGGAGAAGAGACGGTGGAAGAATATTGGAAAAAGTTTAAAATCTATATATGGAAATAATGTAAAATTCATGAGTGTTAGGAAAATGTTGGGAGGGAATTATATGGCTTTAGTAGAAATGTTTTAAGGAATTAAGCATAAATAAGTATTATAGTATTAATGGAAAATAAGGTTAAAATATGTTAAGATAATCACATGACAGAAAATAGAGAAAGATGGAAAGGATTTGCTGAAATAATTAATAGAAATGAAATACAAAAAGGGAGGTGAGAGGAGGTCGATGAAACAAGGGAATGAAAGAGAGGATATTGAGATGGTATGATGTGTGTTTTTTGAATTGTTTTTGCTCTTGTTTTGTTTAATGTGTTAATGTTAATGTTGTGTTGTGTATTGATTATATATTGTACTGTATTGTTTTTTTGCTTTTGCTTTTCTTTTCTTTCTTCTTTTTTTTCCTCCTTTTTGTAAGGTTTAAAAGTAATGTTATTTTTTTTAAAAAAATGAAAAATGTATGTGATATACAAACAACACTAGTGGGGTTTCAAGAGGCACTGTAAAAAATGGAGATGTATTGTTAATGAGAAATAGAAGGGGGAGGGAAGACAAATGGCAATACAAATGAAGGGAATGCGTATTGATGAGATAAATATGGATGATTGTCAGAGAAGCTGAAGGAAGTCCAAAAAGTAATAATTTGTTAAAATTTGGATAGAAATGTACAATTGTATTGGAAAATTAATAAAAAATTATATATATAAAAAAAACAGAGTCACCTGTTAAAAATCTAGAATGCAGACTTCACTGTGGTTTTCTGCACTGACTTCAATCAAGCCAACAACTTGTTGACTCGGTTTCTAAACCATCAAATGGGTGTCATGCAGCACAGTTCTTATAGATGTGTGTGTAAGTCTCATTGAGGTCAATGGAACATATTCCATTCATTCCATTCCATTCTCATTGAGGTCAATGGAACATATTCCATTCATTCCATTCCATTCTCATTGAGGTCAATGGAACATATTCCACTCATGGAATCATAGAATTGTAGAGTTGGAAGGGAACCTGAGTCCAAACCATGTCAGGATAGGATTGCAGCATTCAGCATCTAGAGATGCTTTGAAGCTTACACCTGTGCTTTGTAAATGTGGTGCCAAGTGATGAGGCTTGGTTTAATAATTGCAGTAGTATCACCTGATTTCTCATATTTAAGAGGTTTTCCACACTCAGAAGGGATGAGTAAATATTACTGAACTCAGCAGGTCTTTTTTTTTTTTTTTACTTTTTCATTTTAGCTGGTTCAGGGTAGCATGTCAATGCTGTGCTTTAATTTTGATGGAATTAGGAGAACATCTTTTATTGTTCATTGTGTGGTCTTAAAAACATAAGAATGCTTCTAGGGTAGGGTTGGCAGGGTTGGCATTGATTTATATTTCTTTTTTTCTTTTTTCTTTTGGAAGAAAAGGGGTGGAGGGGAGGAAGATGGGTGGGGTTGGGTGGCAATGTTTCTAATTTGCTTAATGTATGTAGGGTTTGGTGTCAGCGTTACTTGTGCCGGTTCTCTGCTGTTCACTTGTGTTCCTTTGGTGGTGAAAGAGGTTGGGGTTGGCCTAGGGTGTGGTTGTTTGTTTGTTTTTGTTTGTGAGTAGGGTGGGTGTGTGTGTTTTGGATCAGGTTAGCCATATTGATTTATATGCTGTTGGTGGATTATTGTCACTGTCTTGTTGGGCTGTGTATGTGAGCCATACTGGGGTAAAGGCGTCTTCTTCTGTTTGTCCCCATGTCAGTTTCAGTTTATTGGTTAATTTTTCTAGTAGGGCTGTTTCCCATGCTATTTGGTACCATTGGTCCATGCTTACTCCTGACAGGTCTCTCCAGTGTCTGGTTATGATGTTTCTGGCTGCTGAAAGTAGGTGGGTTATGAGTGCTTTGTGGTGTAAATGGGCATTGTTGTCTTGGAAGATGTTTAGTAGGGCCAATTCTGGGGTGATGTCTAAGACTTGCTTTGTTATTTTACATATTTCTCGTATGGCTGTTGTCCAGAATAGTTGGATTTTGGGGCACTCCCACCACATGTGGAGGTATGTGCCTGTGGAGGTGCACCCTCTCCAGCATTTTGGTGAGGATCCTGGGCGTATTAGCGCTAGTTTTCTTGGTGTTAGGTACCACCTGTAGGTGAGTTTCAGAGTGAGTTCTTTTCTTTTCTTTGATATGGATTTAAAGGGGGGTTTAGACCACATTCTGGTCCATTGAGTGGGGTTAATCTCATAGCCTATGTCATTCTCCCATTGTTTTTTGATTGCATCTAGGGGGGTTGTGGGATTTTGCAGTAGTGTTTTGTATATTGCAGAAACCATCCCTTTACCGTTTCCCTTTGTTGTTAGGAGGAGGTTTTCGAAGGTTGTCAGGGGCCTAGTTGCTGCTGATTTTACTGTTGGGTTGTTTAAGAGGGCATGTAGTTGGTGTTGTGTTAACCAGGGCATTTGGGTGTCTTCTAGTTTGTCTTGTATTTCTTGTGTTGACAAAGGTTTGTTATTTTTATAAAAGTCTTTTAAGCGATATAAGCTTTTGGTTTGCCAGGTTTTTATCTGGAGGTTTTGTGCTGCTTGGTGGAATAATGGGTGGTACTCCAGGGGAATTAGTGGGAATGGGGTTGGGGATAGTTTGACTATTTCTGTTTTCCATGCTTTGAGCATGGTCTGTGTGTACCTGTGAAGTGTCGTGGGAATTTTGATTTATATTTCTTATGTGAATAAATATACAAAACATGTAATTGCATCATTACACATGCTTACAGGCCCACAGATAATTTTGGCACACAGTTTTGGGTGCTAATCTTACTTCCAGCAAACAAACACCCAGGAATTCTGATAAGATAATTTTTCATTCTTGGTTGCATATAATGTTTATAAAAAGGTATAGTCCTGTACCATGCTTCCTGATGGGACAGAAATTGATCCTTTTATTTTGATGCATTTAACACTTTTCCTACCATGGAAGAAGGGTGGGAAGTCAACTTTTAAATTATGTATTCAATTTGATATTAAACTTGATGTTAATTTGGTTTTTTTTAAAAAAAAATGAAATTCAATAAAAATTAATTGGAAAAGAATATTTCCTCCTGCCTCTTTACTATTAAAAAATTAAAACACAGTCACAGTACCCAAATTTCCAATCATTCATTCATGCATACAAACATATCATGTCACCTTTTTGCATAACTAACGAAAGGAAGAAACCACCACTTTATTTTTCTGAATGCAAGTGTTTATTAGAAACTCATCCATTTCATTCATAATTGCCTTTGCTTCTGCAGGGTTATGACTTGGCTTCAGATGGCTCAGCAGTGCTTTTTCAATTAACGTCTGTGTGGCTGCCTAGAATTAACATACTGGCCTCCCACAGTAAACGGTATTACGGGCTTCTAATCTGTTCAGTAGGAAAGTTATGCTTCACATTGTTCTTCAGCACAACTGCATGTTACGTGGGCTTCAACAGAGGAAACCAGGTCTTCTGATTTTGCAGCGAGGGTAACCAGATCAGTTGGCAAGGTTGCCCCTAGAAACAAAAGGAAAGAAGTAAAAAAACGTGAAAAGGATTAAACTTTTGCAAAATGAATGGTGCTTCTTATACCTACACCTGAAGGCTTAGCTGGAGTCTCCCAGCCACAACTTTCAAAAGAAAAAACCTTTGCTCTAGCATTGCTATTTTCAAAAGGCACTGCCAATGAACTCTTGGGAGGGAAGAGAGCATTATTGTTCCCCTGCATCTCCCATGTATAGTTTCACTCACTAATGTGCTTCATATGGGGCAAATTCATGTCAAATCATGTTTCCAGTACAGGCTACAATGCTAGACATACTCCGTGGGACTTATATCTGAGTAAACTTCCTTAGAGATGCCGTTGATGAGCAATTTTCATTATTATGACTATAGTGAATAAACTTTTATTAATGCAAGCCTGTGTTTAACCAATTATTAATATAAAAGCATATGTTATACACCAATCTGGCAATCTATGAAAGTAGAAAAAGAAAATTTATTTACAGTGCTTACTGACGCCAGAGAGTTTCAGGTGCTTTAAATACGCTACAAGCGAAAGCCTAATCTTTCATAGAAGCAAAAAACTATGAGCCTAGGCTTGCTGTTATAGCATTCTGAACTCCAATAAAATCAGGCTCCTTGCTGCTCCTTTCTTTCTCTAAAGGAAAGATGTTTTAAACCCTGGGGACATGCAGAAAGGTAGCAAAATGCCATTCTGCAAAATTAAAGCATGACTAGTGTAATTTTAGTGTGTAGTCCAAACCAGTAGACGTTACATGGACTTACCAGCTGAGAGACAGTGGAAGCTAGAAGACACCTGAGTCGTTGTGGTGGGTCTGCACTTGTCCTTACAGCTCAACACGGGCAGAGTAGAAATACATTGCATATCTTCTTCTCCAATCCGGATTGGTTTCTCAAGTCTCCTAGTTGAGTGTTTCAGTTTGCAGGCTGCAACAGATTAAGTACAAACCTTTTAAGACATTGGTTTTAAAAAAAACAAACTAAAAAAGCCAGAGGTTCTACAGCATAATTCCATATTTAACAGTGATAAAGTCCAACAAAACAATGAACTGGGCTTCATAACCCAACAAGAAAAGCAACATTTATAGAGTCACCATCTTGATGCTTGTCACTTAGCAGGTATATGGATTCGAGCAATTTAATTCAAAGGTTGAAAGTTTCTATTCATTTTCGATGACTATCTGACTGGCAACCTTGGGCAGCTGTGGACACCCCACCACAGTTGCCTACCTCATTTATTGTTGCTGTTGTTGTTATCCTATTGCTTTGAGCAATGATGTGCAGCTGGTTTTAGCCACGTTTACATTTTCCACATTGTCTTGGATCTGGCATTGCTCTGGGGCATTATGGGAAATTAAAATGGCAGCAACTGCCTGTTGCTGCCCTCCACTGCTGCAGCCAGGTTAAGTCGACCAAAGCTTACTGATGGAGGAAGGGCTAAATTCTGCATGATCCCTTCAAACCCAGACCTAGCTACCTTAGTCATAATTACAACAAACTATCAGACTCTACCTACCTCCACCACATTCATCGGGGACCAGCCAGGACTGAGCAAAGCTCTCTGGATCTTTAGCTGAGTAGCCACTTGGTGTTCGTAATTTTTCTGCATTTCCGCCATATACTTCACAAAGACCACAGGTATATCCGATAGTGGGAGTAACGGTTACCTTTATGAAGAGAGGAAAAAAGAGGGGGGAAGTAGTTGGGATTGAGTTGACAATAAGAATTTGGCTCATTCTCCCAAAGCAAGCAGTGAAAATATAATATACAGGAAAGGGGAGCATGTTTCAAATTCCAAGTCTACTAGATCTTTACAGCTATGTGCCTCAGTCCAGCACCACACAGGGTCCTAATGGGGATTTCGCTACCCTCTCTGTGTTAATTCCATAACTGCATTAGTGACACATTCAGTAGCTAGAGGGAAATAATTCACTTTAAAGTTTAAAGTTATCTTGGAGACTGGAGAGACTTAAAACTGGCATTGATGATTATAACTTCACACATCTGTTCTTCCAGCCACTGCTTATCAGAAAGGCACTGGGAACATCCCAGTTATGTTTTATTGATTCGAAGAGTAGCGGAGTCTGAGACTGTGAGCATTATCATTATTAGCTGAAGAGGGCAATGTACTTTGATGATCTGATAGGCAAGCACAGGTTTTGTTTTGCTTGACCTTGAAAGCATTAGCTGCAGAAGAAAAATACCTGAACATTACGTCCACTGTAGATCAGCTCGTGAATCCCAAACAATGAAGAAAGTACAATTTCGTCACCTTTACGGTCTGATTTAACGGTAAACTCTGTAAGTTAAAGAAAAGACAAATTGATGAATCCATTGAGAATTGGGTAAACATATAAAATAAAATATTCTTCAGATTAAACTACTGATCCTGTTCAACTGAAAATTCCTGTTCATCAATGCCTCCATTATTTTTTTCAGTATAGTTTAAAGTGAGAGTATACATTATTATTCTGTTTTTTGTGCATGTTGATCTGTGTAAATACAACGTCCTAGCCCTGAATTGCAGGAACAATAAACACTCATCCAGTATTTATTTCATGCTGGTTTTATACTGGTGTTTTCTTTCTTTCTTTGCCTGCCACCTTGACACAACAGATGACTTAATTTGTAAAAATACATTTACATACCTTCATGTCTGACTGGGAGACGTGCCATTGGTATTGCAGAACCATCAATTTCTACTATGTTCTTTCCATTGCGATTCTTGAGGGTAATTTCACTTGTTTAAAAAAAGGGGGGGGAGAAGAAATTAATTAATTCTCTCTCAATGAGTTTCAATTACTTCCAATAAAATAGTTTATATTATATTTTTCTCTTATCAAAGTACTATTATTAAAGGAACAAAATAATTGAATCTGCTACTGTGCATCCTTTAATGTTTTTTTCTTTCCAGATATTAATTTCATCCAAACCCCAAACCCAATTCTAAGCTCACCAGATTCATTTAAAACTAAAGTTGCATTCTGCTAGCTATGATTCTTAGTTAGAATATCACTCCCTGTCCTGTCCTGTGATTTGTCATTGTTTTAATTCTTGAAAAGCAAGTAAGCTTATCTGGGAAGCTAGAGAATTTTTTGTTTACAGCGTTAAGAGGAAAACATAGAGAACCAAGGGAGCAATAGATAAAAGGCTTGAACAGACTGCATATATTCCAGAAGTGTTAATACTGCCCAAATTAGCCACTTGGCACCTTCAAGTCAACATGTGAGATTCAGCTTTGGATTCCATCACCAGCTGAAGCACATAAGGAGTGGGGTTAGTAATGACACCAGTCTTGTGAAAAGCTCTCCCTTTGAAGGCCCACCCAACCCCTACACTGAATGTTTTCAGATGCCCAGTATGATTTATTTACATGGCTGAAATAAAACAATGTATTATGTATTTGTTTTTGTTTTTTGCTTTAATGTTGATTTATCTTGATGCAAGCTATTATGGTTTCTTTTGAAAGAAGAGTAGGGTTAAAATATTTTACAACAAACCGTTAAACATGCACTTTCTTCTTTTTCTTTTGGAAGCTGAAACTTTTTCCTTTCACCCTGTGACTGGATTGGATTAGTGCAAAGATACTGTGGTTAAGAGTACTTACCTGCCAGCGATGGTTAATTTGAGTAGGATGTTGTTTGCATTATTAGATTCATATTTTATCAGCACCATAAACTTCTTGTCACAGGTACAGTCTTGTAACAAAGTCATGAAACAATCTGGAGGCAATCTTTTGTCAAAGTTTTGTCCAGTGAAGGTTGTGATCTTTTGACCATCGATTTTGCAGACACCTGATAACAGAGAAATAAATATGAGTAAGAGAGAGGGGGAAAAAACATTTTTTAAATATTATGTACATCATGGAAGCAATCAATAACCAACATATTGGCCAAGGAGATAATGAGCTTGGAGAATAGCGTGGGCATTTTGTTAGGGTTGCCATATTTCAAAAATTCAGAGCTTTTTTTGGCCAAAGTTGTTCAGCTTTTTTGGCAAATCGCAAAAGAAAATTGATGTTTTTTCAGGAAAATCAGCAAAAACAACACTGCCAACATGGGTGGCCATACGTCCGGATTTTCCCAGAAATGTTGCTGATTTCTGCCCGGAAACCCTACATTTTGTATATGATTTTAGCAGAAAGATTTTGGTTTTTGATCGTTTGAACATCGCCCAGGACAAATCTTGTTAAGTGATAGATTTGAATTAGCTGGCAGTGGACTGGGTTTTAAGTAAAAGGCCTCTGAAATAGGATTTAAAATTATGGAACTATGGTGAATATGCAAGAAGTCTTGGTACATTTTACCCCAGCTAAGAAATAAATACTGAGAAAACTGGATCTTGCAGCTTTCACTGTTTCTTTTCTGCATTCACAATAATCTGAGATAATTGTATAGAAAAATACGTAGAGGCATTCAAAGAAACTGATTCGCTAAAAAAAATTATTATTATTTTTATTATTATTTTTTGATGCTATGGGAATGGTTTAGCTACTGACCATTCTGACTAGCAAGTATCACAGATGGAACATCCCAGAGTTTTGAAGGTTGGTTAGAGTCGCCAATAGGCAGTGAAAACGGAATCATACAGTCTTCAGCATAGATGGTCACCTGGAAAGGAAGAGGAAAATAAATTAGAAATTGGCTTTGTTGTCTTTCTCTTTGTTCTTCAAACAGGCACAAGGATGTGTTATTTTATTATTAATATTTATTAAATTGTATACCGCCTTTCATCCGTAAATCTCAGGGCGGTTCACATGTCGAACCCTTACGTTGTTCACACACAGTTCAGCAACATCATTATACATGAATAATTTCTCACTTCATCCTCAAGTATTCCTTCCTCTTTGTATGATTGGTCAACTAAAATCATACTGGCCCAATAACTTGTGTTGCATTGTATCTCAGAAGTTAATAGCTGAACAACTTTAAATGTACACTTTGAGGACAAATGGATATGTACTAAGTGCACACAGGAAGACTAGTATACAAGGCTTTCCTAAAATCAGTTCTGGGAACAACAACCAGAGGTCATCTTAAAATGGTCAAGAATTTCACCTCTGGTGACACATTATAAATGCCGCCAGCTATCCCGCTTAATCATGGTCCCAGATCCAAAAAAACAAAGGGTCATAAAAATGGTGGACATGTACACCCCTGAATTTCATTTGAAATAATACTTTCACACCTGTCATATCTCAAATAATGTCATCTGTAACTCACAGTGGGTGTCCTCATGATCACAGCGTAGCTTCTAGGATCAGTTAGAGCTATAACCAGTGCAACCTCTTGAGAGGGATTTCTTTGAACTTTGTATGAGTAGCCCATCATGTAAGCAGCTCCAGGAATCACTGTAGTTATTCTTTAAAAAAAAAAGAAAATGTTTCTTAATTGGCTGTAGTAACATAAAAGGTGTGATTAGCAGTAATTCTATGCATGGGGGTACATATATGAAGAAATAATTAACAGTAATAATGGCCGGGCAAAATAAGCAGAAATAAGAATGTAGTGGACATAAAATTTAGGTGTTGTTTAAGAATAAAAAACTGAGAGGTGATGAATCTTGGCCATATAAGACTGTCTTAGATGTGAAAAGAAGCTAAACAACAACAACAACTACAACTATAGCAGTCTCATTCAAAAAGCCTTCAGGACTAACATAAAACCATCACAAATGACCCACCACAAGGCAAATTCAGGCTTCAGGGCATGTTGATAAATTTGACGTTGATTTAGGCAGCAGGGTGGGCAGGCAGGGGTCCTGGAAATTACAAGCCTGATTTACATTTGGTGCTGAGGATTGTGTTTTTGTTCTTCAAACGGTGGGGGGGGGGGACTTTCCCACAGAAATCTTCCAGAAATGTAGGCTCTGGATTGTGACTGACTTGATAGGCAAGGATGGTTTTATCCCAGATTGCTGCACACCACACTAAACGAAATAAGTGTAAGGCAGGCCAAAGAGGCGAGGGACTGAGTCTTTGTCACCCCTTCTCTTTGTTTGCCCTTTTCCAATGTACTCAGAGATAGCTGCCTGTCCTGAGATGGAAACTATGGCAACTACTTGGTTGAGCTTTCCAGGGAATGTCTTCATATCAACAGCAACTAGGAGACTTGCTGGGGCTAAATGTCTCCCATTTTTTATCTCCAGAAAGACATAAAGGGATGATAAGTAGCAATTGTCCATAGGCCTGATTAGGCTTCTGCCCCAAAAGTGGCAGTTTGTGAAGAAAAGCTAACAGCTTTTTGAAGGCTGTTCCTCTTCAGCAGGTATTCACACCCCACTTTCTATGTCCCAGGCCTTCAAAAAAAAAAAAGTATAATAATATTTATACCCCATCCATCTGGCTGGGTTTTCCCAGCCACTTTGGGCAGCTTCCAGCAACATGTCTGAGATGGGATTTAGATTAAAACTGGACATCTCCTTTTTGGCCACAGTAAACACACCCATCTGCTTGGCTGCAATACACTTAGCAGGGATGTCATAAGTGAATCATTTGAAGATGTGCATCTACTCACTGTTCCACAAAGCTCGTCACTACTGCAGGAAGCCTTTTGTGTTTAGCCTTGAACTGAACTGCTGGCCTTTTAGCAAACCAACCCGTCTCGACTTCTGCAGCGACCTGGTAGTCTTTGCAATCCCAGCCTGCTTCTAGAGTGGTCTAAGTGGCAGAGTACAGCACATTTTTGTTAAAAAGCAGCATTAGCATTTAGATTGAATGCTCTGTGAGGAGTCGCCACGCTTTGAAGAGACTCACCCTGAGCTTGTGAGGGGTGACCATTATGCTTTGGAAGCAGACAACTGGCTTGCTTGGCCGTGTGATGTTTCTTATAGTCACTTTCAGCATGGAGGAGCCGTGATAAACGTCGCCGACGATTCCGTATTGTCTCTTATTGCGAGTGAGGCATTTGACAGCAAAGGATGCTACTTTTTGCTGGGACCAAAAAAGAAGGAAAACAAAATTATTTAGATTGTTCGTCTAGTCAAAGAAATTACTCAGACCTATTAGTATCATCTACTCGACAGATGCCAGTGGCTCCATAACCTCTAGATCGGATTACTGCAAAGTGTTAAACGCAGGGCTGCCTCTGAAGATGGTTCAGAAGCTTCAGCTGGTGCTGAATTCAGTGGCCAGGTTGCTCACTGAGACAAGATGGTTTATTACACCGATTGTGGCCCAACTGCACTGGCTGCCAATTAGCAATTCTGGACCCAATTCAAAATTCTGGTTCTGACCTATAAAGCCTCAAACACCTCAGGACCGCAATACCTCAAGGACTGCCTCTCCCCATATAAACTGTCCCAGACTCTGCATTCATCATCTGAGGCCCTTCTATGTGTACCTCCTCCACGTAAGGTCTGGGAGGGCCTTCTCTGTAGTGGCTCCCCATTTGTGGAATACTCCCCTAAGAGGCTCGCCTGGCACCATTATTACATGCCCTTAGCCTTTCCTCTTTACCCAGGCCTTTGGCCATTAAATAATATACGGGTTGTTAAAGCTGGGGCAGGGGTGTGCGTTATTATGATTATTTTATTATTATGCTGTTTATTGAGTTTTTATTATTGTGCTCCGTAAAATATGTTCTTAATGTTGTACCATGCCCTGCCATCTTTTGATAAAAGACGATATATAAATCGAATAAATAAAATGTTGGGGAAAGTCAATTGAGTCTCTTCTGAAACCTTTAGAAGGATGATTAAGTTATTTCTTTGGCCCTTTCAGAAATGACTCATTGAGGCAGCCTCATCATAACAGATATCTGTTCTGCTCTAGCCTACTCAGTCTAGATACTAATTTATTACTGGGGTTTTTTTGTATTTTAATTTTAATCTAAGCCATATTTTACCAAGAACTACCTTGATGTCCCTACTGAGTCAAAAGGCAATGAATACATCAAAAGATAATTAAGTATATAAAAACCCAAATAAGCTATAAGTGATTAATATATTTTCCAATTTATTCCAACTATGCCCAGCTTGTAAATTTCCATCAGCCTTGCCATTTTCCAAAGGGATACTGACCGAAGAGCCTTTTGTGTATTCTTCATTGCTGGAGCTAGAGGAGCTGCTGGAGCTGGAGGAGGAGCTACTTTGCTGTTGTATTTGCTAAAAAAATGAAAAGAAAAAGCATCGTCAAGATTTAAAGTTAGTCCCAGATTAAGCAGTGATGAAGGCAGTTTTCTTTGCAGCAGCGACTGGCAGAGGGAAAGGTGGAGAGGCCAATGATAGGTGGAGACGGAGCCAGTGACAAGCAGAGCCAACTCATTCTAGTCCCACCCCCATGTTCCCTGCTGTGTTCTAAAAGGGTGACATTGCAACAAAGAAGGATAAAGTTGGCAGTCAGGGCCTCCTCCTGTACTGGATGCAAGTGAGGCAGTGTGGCAGGGCTCCATTCGCCACAATGGACCAGCCTCTACAGTTTCCTTGTGGGTGTTAAACGCTGTAAAAGTATATAATCGTTATCTCCTGGTCTCCATCACGAAATTGTTTCGGACTATACCACCCTATGCATTTTAACAAAGACGGTGGGAGTGTGAGGGTGGGGGATGAGTATCAGTAATGCTGAAAAAGTCACCAAGCACTCCTTCACCCAGAAGATTACACCATCACCTCACAAGGGAAAGGGCGGGATTTCAACTGCAGAGCAATTTTAAAATACTAGTCATAACGATAACGAGAAATCAGCAGTCCAGCGGGCTGAGAATATCGTCATCTGGCTTTGCAAGAAAATGGCGCGGACAATTTGGGAGAAATGGTGTAATGGGAATAGAAAGGGTGGTGTTATGGAATGGGGGTGACCCCCCCCCAAAAAACCCCCTAGAAATTGTGGTTTTGATTATTTGGAGTATTGAAGGGAAGATTTGAGGTCAGTGGAAAACTACAGGCTAATATTTCTTTCCAAGCCAGGGCCTCACCTGGGATAGAGGCATTAACATGACAAAGGGGGTTGATGGCCCATCTGAGAGCCTGGGCTTGGGTTGCCATGGTGATGGGGTATGGGTTTGAGGTGACAGGAAAAGAGAGTCTTGAGCAAGGTATGCCGGGAAAAAGAAGGAAGAGAAAAGACATGGCATCCCTGTTGGGCAGGCTGGCTGAAGGCTGGCAGGGAGAGATGCTTTGGGCTCCAGGGCTGCACTGCTGTGGGGGACAAAGCCCCTCTTGAAACGACGATGCTATAAGTTCTTTACTCCCTCCATGCAGACAGGAGATGTAAATAGGTGAATAAACCATATTTCTTAAAGCTACAACAGTCTCCGCCGTGTCTCAGTTCTCCATAGGAAAGCAGACCCTGGGTGAGTGCCCGGACACACACACACACACACCAATAATCTTGCTACCGCTCAGCAGAAAGTGGGGATGGGACCCAACTTTTGTAACAATATTTTTTAAAAAACTGTATTGCTGCTAGTACAAATGCTCTAATGGTGCATTTCTGACTTCCCTTTCTCTCTGTGTGTGCAATCTGCCTTCTAAGTCACCCCATAACTAAAAACAAAAAACCAAAAATCTTACCTGCTGTTTCACTGACAGGAAAGAATATTGAAGAAGTTTAGAATGCCTTCCCTGAGAAAAGAAGAAAGTTTAAGAGTTTTCAAGAAAAGGGATTGCTTTTTTCAGTGGCACCAACACAGAATAACAAAACTTTAAAAAGATAACATGAAAGATTTAACCCCATGAACAATGTTGGTTTAAAAAAATTCAATAGTGGGTGCTTCTGAATATCAACCTCTCGGAAATATTGTCAGAGAAAGTGGATATACATTAACATAATTAGCAAAATCCAAGCCTTTTCTGTAGGAATATTAGCTAGAAACAGCCAGCCCAGCTTGTTTTGTCACCTGAGGCAGAACCTGTCGGCACCTTCACCCCTGTTGCCACCACAGAAAAGTCACCTCAAGCATCATTAAGCTTCACCAAAGTCTCCTTTCAATCTTTTTGACATCACAGGAGACTTTGGCGGATTTGGGGGTGACTTGGGAACAGTCTATATGAGACCTCTCCCCATGTGGCCCGGCCTCAGAGTAAGAACAGTGACTGCTTGGTCTGGTGTGCCAGTTGCTGCCTGCCCTAGCCAGACATGCTGGCGCCCATGAAGCAGTGCTGCTTGCTTTCTCTTTCCTTTCAAATGTGGTGGCTATGGCTGTATTCCAACCACATTCATGAATTCGACTGAGAGCAGTGACAAAATAGTTACCTTTTCCTGGGAAATGTCAGAGCTTTCACTGCTGCTGCTGCTGCTGTCGCTGCTGTCGCTGCTGCTGTCACTGCTGTCACTGCTGTCACTGCTGTCACTGCTGCTGCTGCTACTGCTGCTGTCACTGCTGTCACTGCTATCACTGCTGTCACTGCTGTCACTGCTGTCACTGCTGTCGCTGCTGCTGCTGCTACTGCTGTCACTGCTGCTGTCACTGCTGTCACTGCTGCTGCTGTCACTGCTATCACTGCTGCTGCTGCTGCTGCTGTCACTGCTGTCACTGCTGCTGCTGCTGCTGCTGCTGCTGCTACTGTCACTGCTGTCACTGCTGCTGCTGTCACTGCTGTCGCTGCTGTCGCTGCTGCTGCTGTCACTGCTGTCACTGCTGCCACTGCTGCTGGAAGAACTGTCTCTGGACTTTCTCTGCGGAGAATACTTGGTTTTACGGGGATGTTTATTTTTGATGTCACTGTTGCTGCTATCGCTGCTGCTGCTGCTGCTGTCGCTGCTGCTGGTGTCACTGCTGTCGCTGCTGCTGCTGCCACTGCTGCTGCTATCACTGCTGCTGCTGCTGTCACTGCTGCTGTCACTGCTGCTGCTGCTGCTGCTACTGCTGCCCTTTTTGCTGGGCCATTTTTTAGTAGAACCGGGTGGTGGAGATGGGAAACGATCCGATTTTGTGTAATGCTCATCATCGTGGCCTTTGGCATCCCTTGCATCCTTCTGCGTTTTGTCTCCACGCTGCAGCGTGATTCAGAGGAAAGCAAAGAAACACCTCGGTTAAATATATATACATCATGACATCATTCGCTTGCTTTCCTTAACAAGGGGCAAATAATAATAGCTGTTCAACTGGCTGTATTTGTTATAACACATGCATAGCTATGTTAGTCGCTGCAGACAAGAGGAGGTGGGCAAAACAGAGGTGCTCATTTGTTCAGAAATACATTTCATCTCCAGCACCTCATACCCCATGATTCTTACGTGGACAGCTTCGACCCTTTAAAATGGCGCAGTCCCAACATAGCCCCCCTCTATAGATTGTTCCACAGAAATATTTAGTTTGGACAGTAGAAGTGACAACTTAAGATCAAGTGTCATTTACATACCTTTGCTGCTTCAGAAGCTCTTACATCCCTTTTCGTCCTCAGTGCTCCAGAGCCTAGTTGGAACTCGCCTTGAATCTTCTCCAGAGGAACAGCTGTATAGATTAGAAAGCGTGCATAAACCTTAGAAGTGGAAGGCAAACTTGTGGGTGCTTACAAACAGAATGTCTTGGTCATATGATAATACCTTGTACATAGAGAAGCTCCACTTGATGTTCTTCACACAGGTAGTGCAACCAAGAAGTCACTTTGGGCATGTCTTTTGTTTTCTTGATGGTCTTCAAACACAACTGAGTCATGCACCAAGGCACCCATATGCAAGTGGGCTTATATTTGTAGGAATCGCTTGATTGCTGAATTGAACAGAGGCTTGTCAGTATTTAGAAATATATCCCAGCACAGTAACATACGCCAAAACCAGAAATGGGCACCATACAATAATAATTTTAAAAAACCCAACCCTGTGGAATCTGAGGGGTGTGTGTGTGTGTGTGTTCTAGGAGGGCTCTGGAAACATTTTATTATTATTATATTACTATTACTATTATTATTATTATTCCTATAAGCCCATCTCATGAGTGTGGGTAGTACCTTTTATAAAATATCCTGTGGATATAAATTATGGGAAAGAAAAGCTTTTCTTCTTCTTCAGAACTATTGCTTTGATCCATAATTAAATTGATTAATTAATGAGTTAAAACTCATACGATGACTCAAGATTTCTCTGCTGAGGTGACACCTTTAGCCTTTAGCTAATAATTTACATCTTTACCATGGCACGTTAACTTTTGCAAAAGGCATGTCTGTATTAGTTGTAAACTTAGCATGGAACCACCATCATTTGACTTTTACCTGTGAATATCCACAGTGTCCAAGCACTTTCAAGAAAGAATCTAATTTCGCTAAATACACAAGGACAATTTTCCCCAGATTTCTAAACAATACTAACTAAATAAAAGGAGAGTTATAGAAGAAAAAAAAGACGACATATCTGAACCACAATCAGCTAAATACAAGGACAGGGTATAATGGCATTTACCACAGAACACATCTGCACACACACACACACACACAATTTACCTTAATGTTGCCTTTTTCTGAGTCGAAATCTCCATCCAAAATATCTATTTCAGGTCTTTCGGGAAGTACTGAAGCCTTCTTCTCAGAATGTATGTATCTTGCAACAGTATGTGCCTCATGACTGTGTGGATATGCAATGAAAACTTTTCAACATGCAAATATGAAGCCGGGCATATCAAAAAAGAACTCATTTGTGCTAGGAACATAGCAAGAGGAGAGAGACTAGCTGAGAAGTAAGAGGCTGACCCTGAAGATACAGGATGCCGGCGTTCAATTTTGGATTCTTGACTTGGTTAAAAGATGGTTTCGGCTGCACGACGGGGGCACATTTCTGTCTGAAACCTTGAATTGCTAGTCATAGGAAATGACACTGGGCAAGTTAAGCTTATGGCCTGACTCAATTTAGGCAACTTCATATAGTCATACTAATCCTCCCTCAAAATGGAGAATTATATCGCAAAACAGGATTTTGGGGAAGCCAATAACAGAGAATGATATAAGCCTTGATTTTGCGTCTGGCTCTTACCTAAAAATCCCCTATGGTCAAGTTGTATGTATCCTTACTTATGAGGAAAAACCTTTATGGGCAGTAGCTAACAAGAAAAATGATAAAATAGCCACTCTACCTTGCCATTGCCAACTCAAACTGATCATCACGGGGTGGGGAGATGTCAAATTTGAAGTTCTTGTTTCTGATGTCCACTGTGGCATTCATGTTGAATACACCTTGTGTACGGATCTGGGCTCTCATTTCCAAACCGTGTTGCATGTCGTATGTGTTCACTCCCCAGAAAATCATTCCGTAGCCCTGGAGGCTAAAAGGCAATGAGAATGAGAACATTTGAGTATGCTGGAATAATCTGTGCATTTCGTTTCTCTCATTTCCTTATTTTTCCAATCTAATAATGTTCATCTACTTACGCAAGTTTGCTGTCAACTTGAAGGTGGATATTGGCTTCTCTGAGATCACCATGAGATAATTCTGTCCTTGCTAGAGAGACAAAAGGAAGACAAAAATGCTCAAAACATAGACAAACATCTATGAAGTTTCTCTTAACCATTTACTACTGAACCATTTACATTAGTAAATATAGGGCTTTTAAAGATATTTGCTAATGATTTGGTATATCAAAGAAATAGGCCATTAACTGATGAAACATTGTAGAGAAAAACAGAGTGCTCTTCTGCTTACAACTCAGGCAGGGATGTTAGTGTACTCTGGTGCTATTAACTAAGTTGTCATGAGCATGACAGATGATGCTTCGATGAAGCAAAAGACAGACCTTTGTTGTGCTCTCATTACACCTTAGTAAATAGGAAGTAACTTCATTGAAATTAGACTAGTGTGAAATGCAGTAGATCACATCCACACACCTTAGATTTAAAGCACGTTTATACCAGTTCAACAGGCATGGTTTTCCCCAAAGGATCCCAAGAACTGCCATTTGCCCCTCACAGAGGCACAATTCCCACAACCCTTCTGAAATGACACTTCCAATTATTTTCTGGGGGAAACAAAGTAATTAAGCCTGTTCCCTAAAACCTGGGTCTCAAATCTGTCATGCTCTGTGATTTTCTCCAACGTATGTGATTTCCAGCAAACCATTGTGAAATTTGATTATCTCCAAGCTTACCCTTTAATAAACCGTGTGCCATGATGATGCTATTGGCTCTTGCTTGGAATGGCAGACCGATAACTGTTGGAACCACGTACTGAACATCTAGCATCACAGCTTTCATAAAATGTTGGTTGATGTTTTTAAGGCCTTCGATAACCTTATGCAGCATGGGCAGCTGATCTTGTCTTTGCTGCTGCATGTCCTATAGGGCAAAGATGCAATAGGTTAAAAGACAAGGAGACAAAGCTGATAAATATGTTGAGGGTGGGGGGACACAAACTTCCATACCTTCATAAATGCCTGCATTTCATCAGTGGTTATAAAGATCAGTTCTTGACCAAACATTTTGACAGAGGCAGATATCACAGGAATCTCACGAGGGAACTCCTTGAATCCTGGCAGCTGAAAATCAAGCCCATGAGGGTTATTCAATACTGGGTTTATTCAAGTAAATTTAAGGAAATAAAGAGCAACAGAAATGGTTTTTCTATTTAATTCTGCAGCCCTCAATACACTCCCGTTGCAAATGCTTACAGCTTTCCTTGATTTTACAATGCCCTCAGAAACAGCTCAATTTATTTAGCTGTGAATGGGTTATCAGGTTATTCACTGCAGCTTTTGCCACACTGTGGATCTCCATTTGAAGTGGAGAAATGTGGCACCAAATCCAGGGTTTCACTAGTGTAACCACCCTGACAAGGACCTCCTCCATCATTCCCCTATGGCGAATACATTGAGAATCTGGAAATATGCATACTTTTGCTTCAGTGTCCTTTATCTTCTGATATGCAGGGTATTTGTCGAATTGATGTGTGTTCCTCCAGAGAAGTTCCTTGAGGCCCTGAGTTCTCACTCTAACCTTTAAAAAAAACAAAAAACAGAGGGAAAGTTTTGAGAGCAGTTTGCTAACGTTCAGCATCTATGGAGCAACATGGAATGATAACAAAACAAACCACTCAAGCATCCCTATCTCCCAACCCCTAGAAATGATCTGAATAAAATGTAACACAAACCTCTAGAGGCTGAATAGTTGAACCTGCAAAGTTTACTTCTGTTTTCCAGATTATAGTCGAAGGGAGCATTGTTTGGGGGCTTTCAATCATAAACCATTTCACAAGGAATCCTGCTCTGTGTTTGCCTGCGGTGGAAAAAGCGACAACAATGAGCCATTGCTGTGTTATTAATCCTTGTGAATCAAAATGGGATCCCTTGGCTACTACTGCTTGGAAAGATTTTCCCTGGCAGAAACTTGTGACCATCCATGGTTTTTTCGTTTGTGAAATTCAACAGGATGTTACTGCTGCCAACACAACAGAATATTTGAAATTTCAGTTTCAAATATTCGGTTTACTTCTACTTCTAGTTAAGTATTTTTATGTATTTGCTTGATTGGGGGGGGGATCTGCCACCCCCTGCTACGCCCATGTCCAACATAGTATGTTAAAGGGTCTTTAAAATCATTGAGCCCTTTGGAATAGATGCTTTCAGTTCCAAAGTGCTAAGGAGCGGATTGTGATATCCAAAAGATGGTGGCTCGTTTGGATAAAAGCCAGGAAATGAACAGTTGTCTGCTACTTACTGCTGAAGCCACTGACAAATAAAACCTTGCTCTGGTGGAGGGGTCTGGGGTTCAGAAGTTTAAGAGCCATACTGCACGCAGAAGACCTAAATAAAACAGGTTTGAAATTAGCAGCAGGTAATAGCAAAAGTCTCTACATGCATGTTTGCTTGTCTACTTAATGCATTCATGTTCTGCTCTTTGCGCAACAAATCCCAAGGTGGTCTTCAATGAGAATTTGATGATTAAAATACTACGAAAACACATATAAAAATGAAAGCACTTCCCATTTGGCAGAACAAACAGCTCAATTACAGTGAACTGGATCCAGATTTAGTTATGCTTAGAGCAAACCTGCTGCAATAAATCTTACTAACTTGAGTCCCACTGAAATGTTACCAGTTTAGCAGTAGGACCAGAACCAACTCTAATGAATAGCAGCAACAGATTTATTGCATGAAAGGTGATCTGATTGTAGATCGACTTACAGGCTGTAGTACAGAGGGATCCTGACATTTGACCAAGCTTTCATGTGAGAGTAGGCAAAATTGACCAATTGCAAATTGTTCTCTTTGAGCAAGACATTGGCAATAGCTGTCACTGTTGGGATGGCAGGGTTGGTTTCGAAGAGGCCAATGCAAGCCATCATTCGGATGGTCACATTATATGAAGGGTCTGCAAAGATCTGGAGGAGAATGCCTTGCACCTACAGAAAGAGAAGCACACCATGTGGGGGATCAACTAATAGTATTTACCTGGCAGCAGTTGAGCGCATTGAAGGGATGAATCAAATGCTCAGATTTAAATGGATCTTTCTTGGGGATCAACTCACAGACAGGAAAACAATGTATGGGAGAGTTTTAAATAGCTTTGAGAAAGGAGTTGCTGCTGCTGCTGTTTTAAAAAGATCTTTATCAGATGTGACTGTGTAAGTTTGCAGTCCATTGACAGCAGTAAATCTCAGCTGCTTCATGATGCCAAATACTTTGCAATCAATATATCGAGGTGACTTTCCTTTGCTCTTCTTACCTTTGTAGGTTCCTGTTTGCCAATTCGCGCCATAGTCTGAACAGCAGCTGCTTGAATGTATTCTGAATATCTTTTAGAATCAATCACGGTTCTCACTAGCTTCAGGCTGGCTGGCTGAGCTGCATTGCCGATGGCTTTCAGAGCCAGAGTAATTTTGTTTTCATTGTGTTCCCTGGTTGCATCAGTTAGGAAGTCGTGCAGAGGCTGCAGACAAATGAGATGAACACTTTTTAATTCCATTCAGAACCCCATCAATGTTGTACATGTCACTATCCTCGCTCAGTGAGGAACAGATGAAGAGTGAGATTGAGAGGGACCATAGATTACTGGAACCGCCTATAAGTGTCTCTATGGTTTCAGAATATGTTAAGTGCTGATTGCAAAAGTACAGGAACGTGGCACTGATGGCAATGAAAAGACTTTAGGGGCCCAATAGTCCATTCACACAAAGAAAACTCCCCAAAAAGGCAAGAACTCTTTGTTGACAAGCTAACCCAAGATCCCAAATGTTTCACAAGCACACAACTGGCCTTCTTGAAAGGCACAGGGCGAAATTCACTCAAGGAAAACTATACATCTTTGTGTGGGAAGCTAAACAAGTCCCTGTGCGGAGCAGGTACGTTTTGGCTATGGTGGGATTTCAAAATTAATAGTTTAAGGTGTGTAATTCTCCCTTCTCTCTGGGAAAGGCATTCTTCTTTTTATTGGGGGGGGGGATAACTTGGAATAAGGACCATATACCTCAAGCAATTTGCTGGGGCAGGAGCGAGAATGAACACATTGTTTGTAGACGGTGGTACCATATCCCAGGTAGAAAATCTTCACAAGCCAAACTGATCCGGTATTCTTTATTTTGGGTAGCATTTTCTGTGGGTGAAAGAAAGATTTCCAATGAACCAGAATTTGAAGGAAGCTTCTTGTTACTTTGTGATAATTTTTTCTCCTGTAGATTTTATAGCTAATGTGATTTCCTATGTAACACATTGTTCATTCTGATACACTCAATTATAATTTTACATGTACTTACGATTAGCACGTCAGCAATTTCTTCAGCTTTATCTACGTTAGGCTTGACAGAGTGTAAGGCTAGGGAAATTGTCCAGTACAATTCCAAATCGTGCAGTTCATCTTTGACAACTTTTTCTTTGAGGAATGTCAGTGATTCTATAGTGCCAACAGAGGCGACTCCAATCAGGAAGGCATTCCTGCAGTGAGCAGAAAAAGAACATTCTGAAAATTTCATTCTTCATTCTTCACTACACAGCAAACACTGACTGGTTCAGAGTCCTTCCACCCTTGTGGACAACAGGATCTAGAATCAATCTAGATTGAAAGAAGCATGCTGATGATGAGCATGAACGATTCAGGATAGGGGAGGGGGGGAACCTACGTTTTGGTGCTAGTGTGTTTGCAGCCTATGATGCTGCTGTGTCTTATGTGCTAGTCAGCCAACGTACCTGGCGTTAGGTTTGTTCGAAAACTTATTGTAGAGAAGGTGCAAATTTTCCAGATTCAAATAACGAAGCAGCTGGCTAAGCTGTAGGTACTTGTGGGCATTGTCTCCACGGATGTCTTGTGGGAAGCGGTCAAGCTCAACCAATAGCTCTTCAGTCTGTAACAAGAAGGAAACAGTAACTAGAATATATTCACTGTGATGGAGAAAAGCACACTGTTCTCTTATCAGCTTTATGAACCATAGAACTATTCCATATGCCAACACATTCCCTACCTGTTGCTTAATGTCTCCGGTTCTGACAAGCATTTGGGGAAGAACCTCTGGGAACTCGTAATGAATGTTTACATTCCGAAGCTGAACCTGTGGCAGTTGGGCATGTTCATTTGTCACCTCAGTCAGTGTGAGCCTTTGCCTGGAAGGGAAGAGAAAACCACAAGTACCATTCAGTGATTTGTGCTGTTGCTCATCCAGGCAGTTTCTAGATCGGCCCAGGGAAAATTAGGAGGAGGGCAACTGGGAGATATGGGGAAGCTGATGGAAATGTAGCCAAGACTGAGTCAGAATTGTATCTCTAGTGGATGATGGGGAAATATTTGATTGGATTGTTTCTGCTTGCAGGCCTGACTTCCATTCCATGTGCTCATACAACAAACTTCTGTTGTTAATTTACACTCTGTGCAATGCCTCATTTACTCCTGAATGGAAGTCTGATTTATTAAAGTCTGTGGGGATACTGAAATCAAGAGAACGTAGACCACACGAATGACACCTGTCCCCATGTAACGGCAAGCATTTGATTTTGCACACAAAACCTTTGTTTTTGTTTTTCCCTTTGCCATTTGTAGTTTGCAAAATACTCAACAGCCTTAATTTGTCTCTTTCCTCCAAATGAATGGCAGAAAACGTGTTGTTCTATGTTAAACGTTTCATCAGCTTCATAATTTCATCAGCTTGCCAGATGGAATTATCTCTCCCTCTCCTCTCCTGCTCAATGTTCTGGGGATACCCTGATACAGGAGAGCATGGGAAGGGCATGGGGTGAGGAACAGAGGTGGGGAAAAACCCATTGCCTAGGTGAAAGTCCTTACACACAGCTTATGCTATCAGAACTCCTTACACACAGCTTATGCTATTGGGTTAATTCTGCCCATTGTCTCCAGGCCCAGGACTTTAAAACTAATATTTCATTGGTGTAAAGCAGTTAAGTGGACATGAACAGCCTTTACCTACAGACAGATAACAGCAGCTATTATTTGGGAGGATTTTCTTTATTTTATTTTTATTTTGCAATGCTGCAAATGCTTTTAGTAGCAACCCAGTTGCTACTAAGACCAACTCTTGCATAGCCTAGCTGGAACCATGGCTCACTTGCAGACTCTTTTAAAAGTTATTATTTAAGCTATGGTTACTTACGTAGCTTTCATAACTCCGGCACCCTCAGCTCCACTGAATGGAGAAAGCTGGTAGACTTGTTCGGCATCGACTTGCAAGATCTGAGCGTCAGCTCCAGAGGGATTATATTTCAGTTTGAAGGTGAAAGCTTCAGTCCCTTGAATCATCCTGTTTTGCTATAGAACAGAAGGAAGCGCCTCTAGTTAGCATGGCTTTCAGGCGGACGTTACCCTCGCTTGTAAGCAAATCACGTTCCAACATTCTTACCAGCAGGCAGTTGGGGTTACGGTGGATGAAGAACGTTCCAATGCTGCGCTCCATTTTGTTCCTGCAGTTGTTTGAGTCTTTGGTCCTAGAAACGAGGACTGTGCTGCTCCTCCTGTCATCTCGGATGACGTATCTTGTGTGGCACTCACCTCCAATTCCATCCTGCAAGTATAGATTTAGTCACTCTGTAGAAAGGCACATGATAAACTCCGGGGGGGGGGGGGGTGGTTTTATTTTTTAAATGAGAGGAAGAAGGCATGCAAAGGAATTTGTGGGGTGTATCCCAGGACACTGGAACTAATGTTAGGCATGTACAATTTCCACAGCTGAGTGTTTTGTAGAATCATAGAATTGTAGAATTTGAAGGGACCACAAGGGTCCTTTGGTCCAAATTCCTGCAATACAGGAATCTCAGCTAAAGCATCCATGACAGATAATGAGCCATGAATGGCAAGATGCACATCCATGACAGCATTCATTTAGTTGCTTCATAAGGGGCTGGACTTGAGGGCAGAGATCCAAGGCCCCACTCAATGGAATGATCAGGAAGGCTGGCTTACCACATTATGAAATAAGTGAATCAATACACTTTAATACACTTTACTGTCTAAGTAGACCCCCACCCTGGTTAGACTATTAAGTCTCCAGAGCATAAGATTACCTAACTGCATGACTTATCTCATTTATTCTGTTTTAAAACACCACATGTTATTTATTTATTTATTGATGTTTTAGACAGCCAGATAGAAATAGGCCTTGCAGTTATTTGAGTAAGCCCCAAACACTGACATAGGCCTGTGGATTTCATGGTGAGGGAAACCCAAACTGTGGGAGTCAAACCCTACCATCTGAAATCCCTGAAACTCAGTTCTGGCACCTCTCAGGTGGGCGCCATTGCCATTACAAGAGAACAAGGGAGGTGTTCGTGATGAGTTCTGGCACTTCTTTTTCTAGAAAAATAGCATTGTCCAGGAAACCTCAATTGCAAATTCAATTACTCAATGAGAAACTATCTAACTGAATATTATCTAGGTGGAAATGGGAAATTTGGTGGCTTGGAGTGAGATGGGAAAGGGGTGGCATCACACATTTTGCTTCCTGAGGTGAACAAAATGTTGCCTCCCTCCTCCTACAACATATAGGTGCTGATCAGGTTGGCTTGTTTCAGCACTGGTGACAGGAGGACGAGTGTCCACCTGAGGCCTGCAGGCTAACATAAGGGGCAGAGGGCAGGCCATGTGATCCACATAGCTCCACCCTCCAAGGCCTTGCTACTGCAGCAACTGTTGCCTGAGGCAGCTGCCTCACTCTACCAAATGGTAGGGCCAGACAGAAAAGCAGAAAACCACAGGAGTCATTCAGGGGAACAGAAAACAGTGGGGAAAGTAAAAAAAGTGAGATAGTTCAGTACTGAGGTAAACTAAAGCTGCTCGAAAAGACGAGTCCAAATGCATATTAAATGTACATGGAGGAAACGAACCTCTTGTAGCTCATACTCTTTCTGGTTTTTAATTGACATGGAAAATCCGTTCAGGAAGCCTCTGACAAGATTCACACAAGGCAGAGGTGGGTCTCTTGGCACACGGATGTTCTGAACCTTGCCATTGACGTAGCCAAACAGGAAAGAATATTTGGTGCAAGCAATAAGTGATTCAGGTTGCCTGGAGGGTGCTGCAAATGGAGGCTCTCCCGGAAAGATTCCGACAGCATCTTCAACTTTCAGAGATGCAATCTGAGGAAAAAGATGAGAGAGTAAACAAATTGCTTTTCATTTTGATTCTGAAACGAAGAACAGTGTCTTAATCTAACTGAAGCGAAGCACCTGTAAATCCAACTGACTTCAGCGGGAGAGATAAAGAGTGCCATCTAATACACGTCTACTCAGAAGTAAGCTCTACTGAAGTGTGTGCAGATTGCAGGGCAACAATTATTAGTTTCGGCTGCATCGTGCCCTTTCATGTTATACCAAATAACGTGTTTTAAATACAAACAGGATGCCCTAAAAATGATTATACTGTCTTTCTTTTTTTGCATTAGATATACTTTTGCATATAATATCTTCAATATATTCAAGCGATAAACGTATTGTTCTTACTATTATTGCATTTTTACCCCACTTTTCCTCAGAGTAGCTCAAGGTGGTCTACATGGTTGTTCTCCTTACAACAACCCTGTGAGGTAGATTAGGCTAAGGGACTGTGGCTGATCTGAGTTCACCCCGTGAGCATCACAGCTAAGTGGGGATTTGAACTCCGGTCCCCTAACTCCTAGTCTAACACTTGAGCTACTGCACCATGTTGGTGTGGTGATCTAAATAAAGAGCTAACTTAATTCCCCCTTCTTTCCTTGTAATTAAACTGGCTCCCCAGTGTACTGTTATATAATGTAGTAGAGATAAAGCAAACATGTGCATAGGAACTCTTTTATGAACTACAGCCCCAGAAACAATGTTCTGTGAAAAGTTCGCAACTATTTTTTTTAAACAGTTGTGTTGTCAAAGAGTGAAATGAAAGCCAACTTAGCTTTCCCCTTTACAATCCATGGGTGATTTTAGTCCCATGTGAACCTTTAGTCAATATGATTTGCTGCCCTTTCATGACAACCCAAAGCAGCTGCCTCTCTCTCTTCTGCCCAATACTAGGGCTGGTCTAGTTGTCTTCATTTCACCTCTCCTTATTCCTCTGATCGCTGCCTTCTCTGGGCCACCACAATAGAAATTTGAGGAAATCCAAGTTTGAAAAAAAATTAAAATGTTGTTGTTGGTAAACAGCTGCTTCACTTTTTCATGTTTAATCTTTAACTTAAGGTTAATTTAAAGTTCAGCATACATTTACTTTAAGGTTCATCAAGAACATCACCTACCCTCTCCCCTCCCACCGATTCTATTTTGGATACACATTTGATTTTAGGATTGCATGATGGGTGGAGAGCACTGGAGTTTACAGTGAAAGCTAGATGGCACCTCCTTGCTTGCAATGCATCCAGAATTCTAGAAGGGATGCTCTGTAGTCTGATGGCTATTTAAAGGGACTGCATAATGATGATGCTTACCTTGAGAATATTCTCCTGTTCGCCTCCATAGATATCTAGCCCTCCAGTCAGTCTCACAACAGATCTTCCCATCTCATATCCTTGCACTGTGGTGACAACGTCGGCGACATACTTGTAGTGGTAGCGTTTCCCATGTTCAAAGCGCGGCTCTACAAAAAATAAGAGAGAGGACAATTTACACCTGCTGTATTCCATATATGCACACCCAGTAGGGTGTCAAGATTTAATCAGCTTAATCTATGTTGTGATTAATTTAACACTTTAATGGATTAATTGCAGGGTGATGTTTCGCTCTCAGGGCTACAATTTAAAATTTTGCCCTGCAATAGGAAACAAAGCAAGAAAACATTTCGTTTAAGCATGAGTGCTGCTTTCGCTTACTACTGTTGCTTTATACTTCCTTCAGCATCTTGAAAATGTCTCCAATCCTGAGCTTTGGGTGAGATGTGGATGCATTTAAATGTCATTAAATGATTAATCTAAAGTGTTCAACGTTTAGATAGGACTTGAGCGTTCAAAGCGCTTTAGGTCGTTTATTTTGTAATACTGATTTGGTCAGTATTATTATCCCCATATTGCAGATAGATTCATGGCTGAGGAGCAAATAGGGTGGTGCGCCTAAGGATATACACTGGGAATTTTCAAATTTGTAGCTCAGCTGCACAGTGCAATCCTATGGCTATCTACTCAGAAATACGTAAATTCTCTTGAGTGCAATGGAGCTTATTTCCATTGGTAGCTGTGTATAATAGCAGGGGTGATGCTGGGCTTCAATACACATCAATGGTCAGTGGGCAAGATAATGAGCCTGTGGTCTAAGAAGATCTGTAGGGCCACAGTTTCCCCACCTATAGGACTGAAACTGTTGGCAATATACCAGCTCAACTAATTCCTCCCTCGGGTAGTCAACTGCCCTAAAAGTCATGTTAATCAGTGTTATGACATGTTATAGATAGACTTACTGATTTCGGCAGTCTCAGGCCCTGGGAAAAGAAATTGGATAGGTTACAAATTGTGTATAACAGTAGACCATAACCACTTCACTGTGAAATATACAAGTGGGTCCTAAAACAAAATGTTTTGGTGTATCCTCATGTTCTAATAGAAGTGTTCCTGTCTAAGATTCTTGTCAGCCAGCCATGCCCTTTTTTGCCTCACTCCATTCCATTCCCTATGTAGTTTCCCCACCACCACCTCAAATGGCAGCCAACATTCCATAGCTATTCCAAGCCTCATGGGGCTGCTTTAAGGCATGTGTTTTTGTTTGTTTGTTTGTTTTAAAGAATTTGTACTTCTGGGAACCTCAGGGGTTCACCAAACACACTTAATACCACCCTCTTGTTTCTCTGTTGCCCCATTTTGGTTCCTATTCTGTCACCACACTGGCTGCAGTAATTGATTATCAGTTAAAGAAATTCATGAATTAAAAACATTTAGTATTGTGAATCAATAGTGCGGAGCACTTTATAGTGTTCAAAGCAGTTCACATAAATGATCTTCCTGCAATCCTTACAACAACTATCTAAGGCTGGGCTGCACAATTGTCCCTATATTCCAGATGGAGACACACCCGGGTGGGAATTAAACTGGAGATTTTCAGTTGATTTAAATTCCTCTCAGACTTACCAGGTTCTTGCGTCTGGCCCTCTGAGGGAAAGAAATCAGATAGGTTAATGTGAGTATAATTGCACAAACATACAAGCACAAGAAGAGTCTGCTGGATTAGGGCATTGTCCCATCTACTCCAGCATCCTGTTCTCACAGTAGCCAACCAAATGCCTGTGGGAAACTTGCAAGCAAAACCCAAGCAGAAGAGCAGCACTCTCGTCTCCTGTGATTTCCAGCAACTGGTATTCAGAAGCATACAACTGCAAATCGTGGGGGCAGAGCATAGCCATTATGGCTAGCAGTTGCCAATAACCCTCTCTTCCATGAAAGTTTTAAATCCTGTTTTAAAGCCATCGTCACCTCCAGTGGGAGTGAGTTCCAGAGGTTAACTATGTGCTGTGTGAATAATTACTTTCTTCTACTCTGTCTTGAATCTTCCAGCATTCAGTTTCAGTAAAGTACAACATTTTAATCCATCTATCTTTCTGTCTATCTTTCTGTCTATCTATCTATCATCTATCTATCTATCTATCTATCTATCTATCTATCTATCTATGCAGTTTTTTATCAGAACTCCTGAACTCCTGTTCAGGATTCCAGCCAGCCAGCTATGCACTTTTTCAGGTTGCTGCAGTCCATATCCCCTCCCTCCTGGTATTCCAGGTTTATTTTCCAACCGACACTTAATATTCTCTGGCATCTGAGCATGCAGTTTGGAGATTTCTTCCTCCCTACCCCCCACTTTAAAACACACTTTAAAATACCTCTGGGTTTTCCTGAGCATGCTGATAACACTCTTTCCCTGAGCATTGCCCTTTTTCAGCTCCATTTCTTTTGGCACCTACCATCTGAGTTTGCTATTAGAGTGGCTTAGCTAAAGTGTATGCTGGAAAATGGATTCATTACTGGAAAAGCTTTCTGCTGCTCAAATCTATACCCACAAAGATATATCCACAAAGGTTCATTTACACCCATTGTGTTTCATAAATGTATTGCCACTAAAACTGCATGCAACAATCAGATTAATTACTCAGTGATGATCACACTAAAACTTCACTTGATTAATACGGAGAGAAGTTTTAATTAGCAGAGCTGTGATTTATGTATTTGTCAGCCTCTTTGGGCTTTAGTATAACACTGCAATAGGAAACGAAATTTCCTTTGAACAGTGAGTTGTTGCTTCTGCTTATTAATTTGTAAATTACTTCATACTTCCTTCAGTATCTTTAAAACGTACTCATATTGAGCTTTGGGTGAGATGTAAGTGCATTTAAAAATCATTAATGAATGAATTAATAAAGCTTAGAATTTAGACAGCCCTCTATAATTTTCAAGCTCTTCTCGTAATTTAATTTTGTAATTCTGACAACAAGCCTTCAAGGTAGGCCATAATTATTGTTCCCCATATTTCAGGGCTGAGGCTCAGAAAGATTTAAGCATTTTGGGTCACTTAACAATACTTAAACAAGGAACTTCCAGATTTTGCAGTTCAGACACTACACTACACAAACTCAACTAATCTCTTCCCACCCTACCCTAAGTGGTTGACTATCATGCAACTTCAACAAAGGTACTACGATGATTTTAAAATAAGGTTAGATTACTGATGAACTTACTGAATGGAATCTTCTGGCACGCTAGAAGAGAGAAATTGAATAAGTCACAATGTGAGTACTGACAGCAGAAAATAACCTTCTTCTTTTTTTGCTAAACTCTACAGAGTTCTGCAAAAGGATAATAGTAAAAGCAATTGCCGACTTACCCACAAGGGCGAACAGGAGGGCTAGGACTATTCCCCTCATGGTGAAGGCGAATGATAGCCCTCAGCCACAGTGGGCATTTTATAGGGAGATCAGCAGCATCACATGATCCATACTGATCAAGATTTTGCTGAGCGTGCAGATGTTTATCTCTCTCAGCAAACTTTTCTTTTGGCAATCGCTGATTTTTTAAAAAAATAATAATTTTGGGGGTGTAGATTTCCTCATGTCCAGCAGTCATCTTAGGCATCACTTTAGGTGAGAGAGACATTGACCTGGTCATTCTAACCTAACATATGATGCAATGGTTTACCTACTGACAAATACGGATAAGTTATTTTGAACCTTGCACCTACCATTGTATAGTCAAACATCTGGTTAACCACTGTGAGAGCAGAATGCCATACTTTCCAACATTTCTCTGATGAAAATAGGGAGATATTATTATTATTATATTTATACCCCACCCATCTGACTGGGCGGCTTCCACCATATATAAAAGCAGAATAAAACATTAAAAATTTCCCTATAAAGGGCAACCTTCAGATGGCTCAGGGGTCAGATAACTTCATACCCTCCAACATTTATCTGATGAAAATAGGGATATCCTAAGGAAAAGCCAGACATTCTGGGATCAAATCAGAAATTGGGATGGCTTCTGTAAATCCGGGACTGCCCCTGGAAAATAGGGACACTTGGAAGGTCTGGGAGGCTGGATTAGATGGGCCTTTGGCCTAATCTAGCAGGACTCTTACTCTGCTATAATAATAATGTTATTATTTATACCTCACCCATCTGGCTGGGTTTCCCCAGCCACTCTGGGCAGCTTACATCATATTAGTATGTCCCTCTCACTCCACTGCAGCCAGAGCTGGGCCAAGACATTTTGGCGCCTTAGGAGAACCCACTCTGCCAGAGAAGAAGGAGCGAGCGATGTTCTACACTGAGAACAAGGGTGGGGGAAGACCAGCAGCACCTCCTCTTTGCCCAGAGGCAACATTGTGGAGGGGGCTGCTGAGGTGGCAGCAGATGTGGCCTCCAAGGAATGCACCACAGCTGAGATTGCCACTGCAGCAGCAACAGGGGGCAATACATTCCTTAGGGGGTGGATCTTCTGCCCCTGAGGCAGTCACCTCACCTTGCCTCACGGTAAGAGGTAGCCTCCTTATGGAGAAGGTGCAGAGCTGTTTGATGGAGCAAGATCCTTTTCTTAACATGTTGAAAGTGGAGGGACTGAGAAATACCAAAATATAAGAACTGAAAGGTGTGGCACCAATAGATGTACAAGATCATGGAGGGCTTTGAAGGAGCCTGTGAAAGATCTGGGAGATGGCAAGAAACCTGTGCTGGGAGCTTCCTGGGACATCCTGTAGTCTAGACCATCTCCTGTCTGAGGCAAAGGTCAAGATGGTGCTCTATCCACTCCTTGTTCAGAAGCCGGCTGGATTAGCAGTTGATTCTTACTTGAATATCTGGAGTCTCTTCCACCACTACTGAAGACAGCAGGTTAGGTTAGGGGGAGCAGGTCAGGCACACAGCTCTGTCCTCTGTCCTCCATTGCTTCCCGCCTCATTGCACCCACCGCCTGAGGCAGCTGCTTGACTCTGCCTGGTGGTAGGACTGGCCCTGATCAGCGCAACACAATAATTATTTTGGCTTACGTTCTGGACAGAGGCAAGAAGGCTGAGGTGAGCTAATGGATTAACAGAGAGGAGGAGGAGGTTGCAGGAGTCAAGGGTCAGGAATGAACAGGAGATGTCAGCTTGAATGGTTGGTTTTCTTTAGAGGGGTGCTAAGGGAACAGGTGGTGGGGCATATTTTGCTATGTTTTAAGGAGAGAAGTGACAAAACTTGTTACAAGGAAATAGTGGCATTAGACATAGAGAAAGCCAAGTCAATGGTGTCATTCTCAAAAAGGATGGAGAGACGAGTGGAAGCCTTGTGCGTAAAAAGGAATGTTGTAGTTTGGGACATAATGAGTCCATACTCTCCAACATTTCTCTGATAAAAATAGAGACGTCCTATTCCATAACAACAACAACAACAACAACAATAATAATAATAATAATAATTTTATTATTTCTACCCCGCCTACCTGATTTGGTTGCCTCAGCCACACTGGGCGGCTTCTAACATATATAAAAAACATAATAAAACTATACAGGACTGCATTCAGATGTCTCCTAAGTGTTGTAGTTACTTAACTGCTTGGCTCAGGGGTCACATAACTCCATACCCTCCAACATTTCTCTGAGTAAAATAGGGGCATCTTATCAGACCCTCCAACATTTCCCGGTTGGAAGTCCTAAGAAAAAGCAGGACATTTCAGGTTCAGGTCATAAACCGGGATGGCTTCTGTAAATCCAGGACTGTCACTGGAAAATAGGGACACTTGGAGGGTTTTTGAGTCTGAGGCAGGCAGTGGACAGGCATTCAAGGACCATGTTAAATGATGGCATGGCCAGGCAACTGCCCAGACCCACAGTCCAAGAATGTCCACCACTGACCATTGGCCATCCTGGCTGGAGCTGATGGGTATTGGGAATTCATCAACATCTTAAAGGAAGATTTGTGCATTAACTTGTTGTTGTTTTTCTAAAGAATGTACTTTAGATCTTCTACAGCATTCCCCTCCCCCAAAAAAGATCCATCAATAGTACTATTGCAAAAATATGAAGATACAGGCAAGGGAAAGGGGGTGAACAGATATTTACATGATTTTAAAATTTGATATATAAATTCATAATCTGCCTCTCTGGGTTATTTTCCTCTTCAGCAACATTGCTGCAATTTGCAGTGTGTCCTTTTATCACCGGTCACAGTGACCAAGGGATTACTTTTTTGTCTACAAAAATATTGACAGTGATGAGCAAATATTGTATCTTCCATGAATGCCAAGTTATGTAGGTTTCCAGAAGAAAGGGGTATTGGGGCAATAGCAGGTCAGTGAAAGCTTTCTCTGTCCCCCCAAAGGCAGGTCATTCCAGGGAAGCAAAGAACCAAGACAAACCAGAGTCATTTGTCCATCCAGCTTCATTGCAGCTGAATATAATTGTTTGCGGATTATTCAGTGTTAATAGTATGGCTAAATTAAAATTCCATCCCAATATACAGGACTCCTGTTAGAAATATTCAACCTTTAAAATGAATGTTTTAACTGGTTGAATTGGCATCAAGTGGGTTCCTTTATTAAATAGGAACATGTTGAGCAGCAATTCCTGAAGGATCATTAAGGTAGGCAAACTAAGGCCCGGGGGCCAGATCTGGCCCAATTGCCTTCTAAATCTGGTCCGCAGACAGTCCGGGAATCAGCATGTTTTTACATGAGTAGAATGTGTGTTTTTATTTAAAATGCATCTCTGGGTTAGTTGTGGGGCATAGGAATTTGTTCCGTTTCTTTTTTTCAAAATATAGTCCAGCCCCCCACAAGGTCTGAGGGACAGTGGACCGGCCCCCTGCTGAAAAAGTTTGCTGACCCCTGAGCTACTGTTTCCGAGCACTGAAGGTGAAAGGAAGGAGTTGGTGTCTTGTGCTTAAAATTTACTTCTTGGCATTGATATTGGCTCTGAAGAGGGCCTGAAACAGATGTAAGAGTCCAACTGGAATATTTTGATCGAAGACCATTGTTAGAATTCTATGTGGTTAAATTTCTCATTTAAATTGATATAATCTAGTACGTGGGAACAAGCATTAAAAATAGAGGTCATATATCATTTTTGCACTGTGAGACAGCTTCCACTGACTATCTCTAATTCAAGGTTGTGTAAGGAACCAGGGTCATTTCAGCATATGTGGTGGACTTTAAAAAGAAAGAAAGAAATGTTGCAGTTTTGTACTGGGGTCTTTGCAGAAATTACTAAAGTGCCTGGACAGCAACTACTGAAATCTCTGGAACTGGTGGAGTTAAAGATTTTTTTTCAAAACAACATGGATTGTCATTTCAAACCTCTAATGGGCTGTCTTCTTGTAGCTACCTAGCTGGTTGTTGCTCAATATTGGAATATTGGAAGGTGCCACATTAGCTAATGGTTATAAAATGGCTTGGCAAGTTGCTCTGGTGGGAGAAGTAATAAATATGTCTGGTTAAAGGAGCGAAATATAAATATACTTTTATGACGAACTGGCACTCTTTTATTGTTTATACAAGCAAAGATGAGATACAAAGACTTTCTGGCTGGTGTGAACATTCTGTACTTGAATTTTAGTCCTTCCTGATGGGCTGTATTGACAGATTAATGGCCAGGGGTAATGGACCTGTAGCCCACATCTGCAATCATACATCCTCTACCTCTGGACTAAAGTGTGACTAATTTACAGCGACATCCTACACGTCGATTCAGAAGCAGGCCCCATTCAGTTCATTGGGGTTTACTCCCAGGTTAACTGGATATAGGAGTGCAATCTCAGACCGTAATTCTTAGTGGGGTGGACTGTTGTTGTTGTCAATTACATTTATATACTGACCTTCATCCGTAGATCTCAGGGAGGTTCAAAATGTAAAATTACAATATAAAAACCACCAAATACATAATAAAAATAAGAACAAAGGGAAACCAGTAATCCCCCTGCACTCCCACAAACAGATTTGAAAGGCCATAGGAGATTAATCAGCCAAAGGCCTGGTTCAAGAGGAACATTTTTGCCTGGTGCCTAAAGGTGTATTATGAAGGCGCTACTCAGGCCTCCTTGGGAAGAACATTCCACAAGTGGGAAGCCACTGCAGAAAAGACCCAGTCTCATGTTGCTACCCTCTGGATTTTTCGTGGATGAGGCTCATGAAGAAGGGCCTCAGATGCTGAACATAGGGCCTGGGCAGGTTCAAATGGAGAGGCGTTATTGCGGTCCTGAGCCGTTGAAGGTTTTATAGGTCAAAACCAGCCCTTTGAATTGGGCTCTGAAACTAATTGGCTGCCAGTGCAGCTGGACCGGGATTGACATTATATGCTCTGTCTTGCTCCTGTAAGCAAGCAGGCTGCTGAATTCTGCGCCAGCAGGTTTCCAAGCTGTCTTCAGAGGCAGCCTTATGTATAACACGTTGCAGGATTCTAACCTTGAGGTGTGTGGAGCAATGGATTGGCAACTGTATCTGAAGTCCTACCAGCACTTGCTGGCTAAATTAGAAGATGTGACCAGGGGGGTTGAGGTGTCTTCACTCACCATGTTTCCATTTACCTTTTGGGTTTATCAAGTTTGCAGATTATCTGAGAATGACCTAAACTGAAAGTTTGACTGATGTCAGTGTTGTGTTGGCAAGTTGGGGAGCTGACAGGTCAAGAGTGTCAGTTGACCAGTCAACAGATTGCCCGTTGTTTGATCACTGTCAAATATTCTCAAGCATTCCATGAAGCCAAGAATGTCACTGTGTCAAAAGCAGGCAATGTGCTTTTTTTATTTAATGTTCTGAATAAGGAGCTTCCCTGAGCACGATGATGGGTGATGTAGCTGCCTTTCCCCCACACCGGAGGGTGAGGCATGTCCACAACACTCTGCTGCCTTGTCTCTTGTGGTGCTCTTTCAAGATGTGGGTGTTATTTTGTGTTACAAGTCACACCCTCACAACTGCTATTCCAAATGTGGTCATTGGCCCAATACAATGAGTGACCTCTGCAGTAGGTATATGCCTGCATGCACACCATTAAAAAAGTATATCGGGTCTTCTCTCATGTAGAAAAAATAATTTTGTGTGAATTGGCTCCAAGTCTTACATTTTAGAAACCCTGGAAACTTGCAAAAAGAATCACGTAGTTCTTGTTTGTTTTGCTAAAATGCATTACATAATGCAAACTGTGTAGCGGAGAGATACCGCAATGCCTTTTCACGGAAAGAATCAATTCTAAAAATTATATTGCATACAAATAAACACAACTTTGATTCTTCAAGCATAGATTCATGAGCTGGTGAAACACTTAATGCTTAGCAGTTAGAATTCAGAGGCCAGATGGAAAACCTTGGCAAGCCAGAAGGAGCTCCATCGTAACCTACCTCCGATTTGGTACAGTGCTTCCAATTGATAAATAAAACACCAGAATCCATTCATCTGTATTTTGTAGAATACGCTTATTACATTTATTTTGCAGATGCATTTTAAGGTTCTTTTTCTCTGAGCATTAAAAAAAATCCCCCATCTGTAAACATAGTTATCACAATTTAAAAAAAACAAAACACCTCTGTGACAATTGGCATGTAAAATACTATGATTTTTTGGGACCTGTGAATTTAATTTCATGGCATTGACACGTTATCATGTGTGTGTGTGTGTGTGTGTGTGTGTGTGTGTGTCCATCTATGTGCAAGCTAATACCTTGCTTTTTAATTTATGAAAAGAGGTAATCCCAAAGTCACACAATAAATATAGAACCTGCCGTGTTAATCACCTGCAATATGCTGTACATTCAAGTTGGGGGGGGGGGGAGAGAGTTTCAATGCCAGTTACACTTGAGACGCAAGTGAATATTCCCCCATACTAGTGCTAAAAGCACTACTAGTACCTGAAGTAAAAAATACAATTTCACTATCAGAAGATTCAAACATTCCTTCCATTCAAGAACGTCTTCTGTTCTAAGAATATAATTTGTTTCAAGACATATATTTTTAAACAGCCTTTCAAAAGGGTACAGACAGGAAAGGTCCAAAGTGAGGGCTGGGATGGCGGGGGAGAGAATCCTTAAAAAGCCACACATACAACACAACCGCTATCAATGTCCGCTGATTGATTCCATGAAAAACAAACACCCTGTTTCGCCAAACGAAAGTTTATGGACACATCCAGTTAAGCAGAGAGAGAGAGAGAGAGAGAGAGAGAGAGAGAGAGAGAGAGAGTGAAAGAGGTCCGAGAATCTAAGGCAAGTTATCTATGTGCTCTGTGCATAAGTTTGCTGGCAGTAGCATGTGCAAGGTGTCCACATCGTCTTGCGCAACGGGACTGGCATCAGTAGTCTGCATCTTCCTCAACTGTTCCTTTCTAACCTGGCTTGGCTTTCGGTCATCGGGGTTTTTTTCCAGAGGGGCACTTGAGGCGAAGGAGAAACAGAAACAAGAAGAGAGGGTCAAGCACATTAATTTGGAGGAGGAGCCCTGGCTCACGCAATTTATGACACCTCCCCCAAGACAGGCACCGTTTACCAATTCTATACGGCAATTATATATGGCAATGTACCATTGGGTTCTTCATTTTCTACCTCCATGGTGCAAGGAATGGCCCATGCCAAGCAAAACACAGGGCTGGTGGGATACAATCGGCTTGGTCTACGTTGTGTAGACTTGCCCTGCCCTGAACAATTCCAACGACAGCTCTATGGCCAGGTGTGCGACAATAAACTTGAGGGCCGCTGATGGGAGTTTCTGGCCGAAAATGTATGACACCATTGTTAAAACAGCTGCACTGACTGCCCATTTACCACCAAGCCAGGTTCAAGGTTCTTGTATTGATTTATCAGTCCCTGAACAACTTGGGTCCACTCCAAGGCAACTCAGGGAACACCCTGAACCCTTATATCACAGCTCAGTCACTGAGACCCTGTGCAGGAGCATTGCTGACCATTCCCCAAGTTGGTGAGGTTCGTGTGACAAGAAGAAGAAACCAAGTTGTGAGTGTCATTGGCCCAGTATTGCGGAATACTCTGTCAATAGAGATTCATCGGGCGCCTTCTGTGACAACTTTTAAATGCCTGCTGAAAACTTTTTTAGTCTGCCAGGCCTCCTGTGCAGGCAATTATCAGTACTCCCCCCCACAATGGTTTGTTGATGCTTGTTTTAAACTCTTTTTTTATTTTATATCTTTTTAATATTGTAAAACCACTTTCATGTGATTTAGTGGTATTTAAATACTTTTATAAGTAAATACAGTCGTACCGCAGAAGTCAAACGCCTTGTGAGTTGAACATTTTGGGTCCCAAACGCTGCAAACCCGGAAGTGAGTGTTCTGGTTTTCAAAGGCCCTTTGGATCCCAAACGTCTGAAACAGGTTCCGATTGGCTGCAGGAGCTTCCTGCAGCCAATCGGAAGCCGCGCCTTGGTTTCCAAAAGTTTTGGAAGTCGAACGGACTTCCGGAATGGATTTCGTTCGACTTCCAAGGTACGGCTGTAATAAAAAATAAACTTATGTTGGAATGTCCCAATTCATTGCAGAATTAACCCATCTCCCCGTCAGACTTCTGGCAAGACCTTGTGAGACTGGAAAACTGTTAGGGAGGGGTTGTATTATATTTACTATTATATTCATACCCCACCTTTCCTGAAACGAGTTCAGAGTGGCAAACGTGGGTCACCAACCTTCCCATTTTAGCCTCACAACAACCCCCCACTTGGGCTGAGAGAAGGCAACTGTCTCAAGACCATCCAGTGAGCCTCATGGCTGAGTGAGAATTTAAACCCAGGTCTCTCAGACCCTAATCCAACTGTCTAACCATTATACTTGTTGAAGCCAAAAAAGAGCTAAGAACAGATTACATAAGAGAAAGAACAAGGGTGCCAACTTGAATAAATATTGTGGGGGCCCAGGGAAGCATAACCAATCACGTGACACAGTGCACACACCCCATTTGGGAATGCCCATCAATTTTATTGGGGGCCAGCCCCCTCAAATATTTTATTGTGGGGGTGGAAGCCCCCACGGCCCTTAGGAGTTGGCTCCTATGCAAGAGAGCAATTATTACACAGAGTCAAGTGATTCTAACATCTCTTGGAACAAACATCTAATCCAAAAACTTCTGAGGTTCGTGAATATTTCTACCACAGCCTGTTAACTTTTTAATGCTGTACGGAAGGGAAGGCAAAAGTGACAGAATAAACGCGGGTACCTGTTCTCAAGGATATGCAGAGCTGCCTGACAAACATCTGAGAATTTGGAGGCATTGGTCATGTGGTTCAGTTTCTTTTGGCGATACCTGAAATTTGCTAATGGATAATCCGAGTCGGTACCTGCAAAACAAATGTTGCTTCTTAGGAAACAATAATGCCAAATGCTGTCAGAGCTGGGAAGCTACTAGAGGTTTGTTGGTGCAGCGAGCAGTTCATTAGGAAGCAAAATAAAATCATTGCAGTACACCGCCTTGTCCTTTATCATGCCCTTTACTTAGACTAAGTGTATACAACAGAAATCCAGTGAACAATATTGCACTTATCACCACAAATTTAGTCGTAGAGATTTACAGCTAAAGGTAGGCATTTCTGCTGTTAAAGGGAGAATGAGTTTGTGAAGAGTTTTTTTATAAAAGTCTTACTTCCCCAGAAGGCACTTTGAGGTTTCGTGTGATCGCATTTATTTTGGTCAGGAGTCATACTCAAGAACTGTTGCTTCAGCCAAGTCCCGCGATCCTCCTCAAATGCCTTCCTCTACACCAAGAGAAAACCCAAAATTACCACAACAAATCAACATACATCTTGGCACTATACTTAATAAATTAACTGAATGCAGGCTGTTAAAGAAAATCATAACATTGGTCTTCAGCTCGAGGTCCCCTTCTGCTTTGGTTAGTGGAGGTATCAAAGGTGGGTTATCTCTCACTCACACAGGAAAGCATGGACCATGCAACTTCAGGCACTGAACCTAAGCTCTCCCCACCCCACCCCCCATAAGTTTCACATCATGGCCAAGTCTGCAGCAGAAAAAGCAGTTTAATAACGTACATAATGACCTGGCTAGGAGACCATGAAAGAGCCTCCTGCGCAATTTGATAGCCAATTTAAGCTTAATACATCTGCGCCCCAATCAGAAATGAACTTCCCTGCAAGTACCAACATTCCATTCTCTGTTTGGTGAAGGAGTTCTCTCTCCCAAGATGGAATACGTAACAGGCTCTATTAAATACTGGGTGGACAAGTGGCTATTTACAAATATGCCTATGGCAGCGGTTCTCAACCTGTGGGTCCCCAGATGTTGTTGGACTACAACTCCCAACATCCCTGACCACTGATCATGCTGGCTAGGAATCATGGGCGTTGTAGTCCAACAACATCTGGGGACCCACTCAACACTGGCCTATGGGGAGATGCCCGAGTCCTAATTGTAGCATCTTGTGAAGGTGCTTATCCAAAGGCCAAGTTGCTGCCTGGCAGCTTTCCAAGATGGCAGAAGACATTTGATTGAGGCGGCAGCCACACTGGTGGAATGTGCCCCTATGTTCAGAGGTGCTGGGATGTGCTGTGCTTCATAGGCCAAAGCTAAGCAGGCTTTGGTCCACCTGGCAATTGCGGGGCTGGTGACCTTTTCCCCCAAGGAGGTGAGATGGAAGGAAACAAAGAGATTGTCTCTTTGAATGATGTGTGCCAGGTTTTGCTCAGCAGCAAGAGAACATTTGGGGCAACAGAAAAGGTTCAGGACATGAGGGAGTAAGAGCAAGCTCCTTTGAAAAAGAAAAATGTCCTGTGAAATATGGTGTCGACTTCAAAGACGAAAGAAGGATCCAACCTAAGGACTATTCTGCTCTTATGAAAAACACACAAGTTGATCATAGTCTTCTAACTTGAAGGACGCAGAAGCTTTAACATCACAGATTTTCATAGGTTCAAAAGATTATAAGGCAAAAGGAAAGAAGAAATGAAAGAGGGAGAGGGTGCCTGAGAACAAGCAGCAAAGAGAGAGAATTTGGATCCACTCTGAGCAAGCGCAGGAAAGAGTGAGAAAGGAGTTTCTAAGAGATGCTTAGTTAAAAGAAGAAGAGGAGGAGGAGGAGTTTGGATTTGATATTCCACTTTATCACTACCCTAAGGAGTCTCAAAGTGGCTAACAATCTCCTTTCCCTTCCTCCCCCACAACAAACACTCTGTGAGGTGAGTGAGGCTGAGAGACTTCAGAGAAGTGTGACTAGCCCAAGGTCACCCAGCAGCTGCATGTGGAGGAGCGGAGACGCGAACCCGGCTCACCAGATAACGAGTCTACCGCTCTTAACCACTACACCACACTGGCTCACTGGATCTAAACTCACACAATCTCTGCTTTCCTGTAGTAAGAGGAAGAAAAAAATCTGCTTGCATACCTCCCACACTAAACAGAGAAGGAATGCTATCGCAAAGTTTTAGAGCTTTTGCAGATCTTCACCTGGAACTGTGGTGCTGCTGAGCACGAACTGTACAGTGGTACCACGCAAGACGAAAGAGTTTTCCGTTTTTTGAGTCGTTCCGCAAGACGACTTTCCCTATGGGCTTGCTTCGCAAGACGAAACGTCTTGCGAGTTCTTGCGAGTTTGTTTCCTTTTTCTTAAAGCCGCTAAGCCGTTAATAGCCGCTAAGCCGCTAATAGCCGTGCTTCGCAAGACGAAAAAACCGCAAGATGAAGAGACTTGCGGAACGGATTAATTTCGTCTTGCGAGGCACCACTGTAAGCATTTAAGAGCATCCGAGGTAAATCAGGTCAATGGCTCTTCTAGCTCAACATGCCCTAGGCCAACCCAGGGGAACCCACAAGCTGTAATACTTGCGATGGTTGGAATTAGAACCAAAGGCTGACCAGACATCATACAGCAGGCATGTTTTAGTGGGGGGTGCAGATCTATAAATACAAATAGATAAATGCAAAGAAGCTGTAGCTAGCTGCAGCTCCCCTAAACATGCCCTGCCTGCTTTTGCTTTCAAACATTTGAGTGTTCATTCTGTGGTAAACAGTGGACACAATATGAACAAGGCCTGCTACACAGATCAGCTGTAGTTCCTGGTAATTTGATTTACCTGAGAAGCACAGAAAAAGGCTGCTCTCCAGCCTTAGAAAGCACAGAATCATTTTGAGTACCTCAAGTCCTAGCCTGATAGCAGCCTCTGTAAAACTTTTGCGCTCTCTCTCAAAGTTCTTCTTCTGTTCCCGGAACAGTTTCCACTCCTCCTTCAGCCTCTCCTTTTCTTCCAGCAAGTAACAGTCCTTTAGCAACATATTGGTGTCATCATCACATGGAGAAGTTAGCTGCTGCTGCACGTAAGTATGGGGAGGGGGGAATGAGAAGTGATTATTTGGAAGCTACTACCTGGGCCAAAATAAAGTTATCTTTAGTTGCCAGAAAAAGTCAAAATAAACTTGACAATGATAATTAACTAGGTGTTCTACTAGGCCAAAAACTCAGAAAAGCATGTGTTGGTGGAAAGGAGGAATCTATAAACTGAACTACTGAGCATAAGAAAAAGATTCCATTTCAATTCAGCTGCTCTGTACTTGGAACATTATGTAACCTGCAGCATGCACAAAAAGTTCTAAAACTAGTCAATTCAAAGTGCAAGGAAGCAGGGCAGCTAGAGTTTTGTTTTCCTTGCCCTCCTTCCTAAAATTAGTTCTGAAGCACACCAGGATACAAAAGCCTGCATAATCCCCTTCAGGAATTTGTGATCTTGTTCTTTTCCATTTGTGCCAGGATCCAACAATGCACAGGCAAGGCAGACTTCTTAAAATCATGTTAAAATGTGCACGTTTTAAAACTGTTTGTAGATTTGTATTATTATTATTTAATTACTACAGACCTAAAAGAACATGAGGAAATTGTTAAGTGGAAAGCTAAGGCTGAACTACTTGATACCTCTTGCATACTTCATCTAAGACCATGCATCTGAGAAGATGCTTACCTGTAAGAGCTGCTGCTGAGTTTTTACCATTTCTTTGCACTGCTGAATTTCCAACTGCAGCCTCTCGACTTCTAGCTCATGGCTCTCTCTTGAGATTGTATCTTTCTCGTTCGGTGACCCAGAATGCACATGTGACACTGCAAGTTTGAAAAGTGCCTTCTGTTAATTTCTGCCTTTTTATTAAAAAATACCGTATTTTTTGCTCTATAAGACGCACCAGACCACAAGACGCACCTAGTTTTTGGAGGAGGAAAATAAGAAAAAAAATATTCTGAATCTCAGAAGCCAGAACATCAAGAGGGATTGCTGCGCAGTGAAAGCAGCAATCCCTCTTGCTGTTCTGGCTTCTGGAATAGCTGTGCAGCCTGCATTCACTCCATAAGACTCACACACATTTCCCCTTACTTTTTAGGAGGGAAAAAGTGAGTCATAGAGCAAAAAAATCAGTAGTTACTGAATTCGTTCTAGAGGAGAAAAATCTAACTCTACAAAGAATCGACCATTTTTAATAGAAGTCAATAAATTCTGGAGGTGTTGCAGCACAGATCATACTCACCAGTCCTCTGTATAATAGAAATAGAGAAAACCAACACTCAGTTGTCTGTTAAATTGCTCAGGTTCTCTGGGGCTACATGGACTCACTTAGTCATTAGATAAATAGCCAGCATTTCTTTCAAAGCAATTATGCCAAAAGTCCAATGAAGGCATTAGCAAGGCTCCAAAAGACTTGAATGGAATCAGAATTTGATTGTTTACTTAATGTACAAAGGAAAAATAATAAAAAAGATGGGCACTGGAAATTACTGAGTTTGTTAGGGGCTGTAATATATAGAAGGAGAAAACTTTAGAGATGGAAAGCAGAAGAACCCAAAATGCCTGAAAATACAGGATAACAGAAGTGCTATTCTCAAAACTTCTACAACTGAAAGAACTGAGATAAAGTGTCTGAGGACAAAGGAATTTTTTCCATTAAAGTCAAACCTGCTAATAATGCTTGTGTGATTATGAATTAAGTGATTTGTAAATAGACAATGGTGTAAGTTTTCCCCCCCAATTCCTGAAGGGCATAACGAAATTTTTCTGTCATAATATATCTGAAATAAAATGATTGTACTAAATGCAACTTTCTTCTAGCTGTTCCCCTGTAGTAAGGAAAATCCAGTTTCTATTGCTTGAGATGGTTTGTAGTGAGGGATCACAGCACCACTAGAAAACAGTATTAAATAGGTATTTCCATAGCAAGTGCTCAACCAACATTACAGAAGGATTGAAGATGTCACAAGTATGATGCAGGTCTCTACTTTTACCTTGGTTGTCCAGGTTTTCAACATGATTTTTCAGCATTCTCCACTGTTTCCGAATGCTGTTAGCAAGCTGTTCACGCACTGTTTCACAAGAAAGTTCCCACACATTCTCTTTATTTGCTTCTCCAGAGTCCTCCTCCATGTCTGAGAGAACCTGAAAGGAAATGCCTACTTTAGAAGATATCCATGAAGCAACAGTGGTTTCCAAAAGTGTATGAGCTAATTGTGGGGTTGTTGGGTTCATGTTATCCTACTTTTAATACTGTTGATTTAGTTTGCGTTTTAATGTAGATGGTTTACTGTAAATATTTTGATTTTAGTGCTCCTCTCTATTTTGAGAACTTTTTTTGAGTTGAAAAACAAAGATAAATCTTCAAACAAATATACATAAATTTATTTCTTGCAGAAATCTCTCTTACAGTTACATTATGCTTTCCAGCATAGGCTATTCATCTACACAGCTATTTATATGCACAATGTGTACACCTCTTCTAGAAAACCACTTAAATAAAAGGATATTTCCATAGCCTTTAACCAGCATCTCCTACCAGTTAAGGCAGCTCAGAATTCTAAAATCCTGTTTTTCTGGACACGATGCACTCAGAACTGGTTGTGAAATTGCACTGGCTCCAAAAACTTTTTTTAAAAAACATGTTTATCTCAAATATACTGCAATGGCAGCATAGAACATTTCAGGAAAATAGTACTTTGATCATATATATTTTTAAAAAAACACACAAAATATAATTCTTCAAAGAAGATACATGAATTCAGTCCCCAAGAATCTCCCAATTTCTCTCATGCTTTAAGCCTGGCACCCTAAGTCACTAGTTCCAATCCTATAAACCAGGGTGTTTCTCGTGGCAAAATAAAGCAATAACTCCATCTACTGAAAGTAAAAAAGAATGACACAATGTGTTCAAATGTTATAGTGTTAAATGTTATGAAGACTGTCAAGTGATGCTTTAATAACTATGGAAGCAGTGAAAGTAACTAGCAGATACAAACACACAGAGTAGATAGAATAAGAGGAGTCAAATACCAGGGCAGTTTAGGTAGAGTTAATCTGTTTTGCAAATCTAATCTAGCTCTGAAGTTTGTGTAATAATGGGAAATATTTTTAAAAATGAAATGCTGCTGGCAGGAATTTAATTTCTGGTTTAAGAGCAACAATTCCCACATGCCCAAGTTAATGAAAACACACCCGTATATATAAACTATGCTCTCCCACAAGGAACAGAAATCTGCTATTCCTGTCTTGCAGAAAATAAAACATGTGGAGTTAGAGCCTGACTATGGCACATTCTGAAGTCAACAGGAGAAGTTAGGTTATTTATGACTAATTCCCATTGATTTCAACAGGACTGTATGGTTATCTTAGTTCGGAACTACTCAAGTAGCACCTGGTGGAAGATGCAAGTCTAACCATTTAAAAGATGAATCACAGAAGACAAAAGTGAGAAACAATTCATACGATCTCATGATACAACACCTTACGGTGAGATTTTGTTTTTGTGTGTGTGTCTCTGTGTGTTAAAACTTACAGTTCCATTGCCATCTTCAGACTTCTCCTTGGGTTTCTGCTTCTGTGATGGAAGGAGAGAGATTATCTCCTTCTTCATTTGCTGAAGCAGCTTTTTGAGCTCAGCATTTTCTATCAGAAGCTGTTTCTGACGCTGTTCATACTCGTTTAAGAGAGCTTTGAACATCTCCTCTTCATTTCTGAAAGCAGAACACGCATAGTAACTAAGCATGAAAAATGCAAAAATAAAACTGTGTCGTGAGCAAAAATAAAGCAGTAAAAGCTCTTTATCATTAGATGGTGACCAGCTCACCTCGCTTCTGTTTTCCCAGTTCTCCATGCACCTCTTTTGCCATCAACTCTACCTACATAGTTTAGAACATCCATGGCTGCAAGAAGGAGAAATTAAAAACACATTTCAGACACCCTAGAAGATGACAATTGACCATACATTTTGTATTGCATTACGCTGTGTGAAGTACAGAAGCCCAAGTGAGTGAGACTGTGTCATTACAATGTCCACTTTCAGCCTCATGCAGATAGACATTGGCAAGTTGGAACTGGTTGTCGTCCTTGCTATGTCCGAACCTAAACATACCAGAAACATCCAGTGCCGTCTACCTGCCAACCCCGAGTTAGGCTTCATATCAAGTTAGGTTCTGAGAAAAGCAATATACAGCCGTACCCTGGATCCCAAACACCTTGGTACTCGGATGTTTTGGCTCCCCCAACTCCGCAAACCCGGAAGTGATTGTTCTGGTTTTTGAATGTTCTTTGGAATCCAAACATCCGACGGGGCTTCCGCAGCTTCCAATTGGCTGCAGGAGCTTCCTGCAGCCAATCAGAAGCTGCACTTTGGTTTCCAAACGTTTTGGAAGTCGAACGAACTTCCAAGGTACGACTGTACTGTGTTTCTTCGAAGGTACCACTTTTCCTGCACTATACATCATGATGTTTGGACAATGCAACCCGAGGAACAGTCTTCCCTAAACTGCCAGAATTTACCAAAATTTAGGAGTTTCCATGCCTATCAGTTTGGAAACAAAAAGGGTAATGACTGATCACTTAAAACTAGAGTGCGAAACAAAACTGACCAGCCCCACCCCTAGAAAAAGATTTAGAAGACATACTCATTTTTTTATCTTTCTTGTTCATAAGAAGTTGATGAAAGCGCTCCTTCAGTTTGTTGTATTCTCTTTCTTTCCTCTTCATATCATGATTGTACTGGGTGGCTCGACTTGCAACAATGTTCTGTAGTTTCTGTACCTACAAAATGCATATTTTTAAAGAAAAGATTACTCTTGATTTTGAATTAAAATTCCTGCCTAATATGAAACTGTTTAGATCAGTAATTCTGCTATTGATGCAGCCAGAAATTCCAATTATTGGTTTGGATGCAATTGTGCCACTGATACTGGAAAGCTCTTTGATACAGTGGAAGCTTCCTTATGCCAAATAAAAGGGGTGGGGTGACCCACATATTCTCTTTTGCCTACACAACCTTCCCTACTGTTCCAAGGGGTCCTTCAAAGTAAAGTTACCAGACTTTTTTCAATGAATCTGGGGACACTTCTCAACTTCAATGGATTTTTGTATGGGGACTGATTTGTAAATCCGGGAACTGTCCCCAGGAAACGGGAACATCTGGTAACCTTACTTCAAAGCTCTTGAGCAGATTTAGAATAAAAAACTAAGATGCTAATAACCCTTGAATCACCTCCATTTCATTTCAGAGTTAATAATCGTGAAAACAACTTCACTACCTTTGGTGTGAAACTGAAGATGAAGTGCAGTTTCCTAGAAATGTGTTTATTTAACACAAAATAGGTGGGCTGCTGGGTTGAGTAAAGGTAAAAGGTAAAGGACCCCTGGACAGTTAAGTCCAGTCAAAGGCGAGTATGGGGTGTGGCGCTCATCTTGCTTTCAGGCCGAGGGAACCAGCGTTTGTCTACAGACAGCTTTCCAGATCATGCGGCCAGCATGACTAAACCACTTGTGGCACAATGGAACACTGTGACGGAAACCAGAGCACACGGAAACACCTTTTAGCTTCCCACCACAGCAGTATCTATTTATCAACTTGCACTGGCGTGCTTTCAAACTGCTAGGTTGGCAGGAGCTGGAACAGAGCAATGGGAGTTCACCCCGTCGCGGGGATTTGAACCGCCAACCTTCTGACCAGCAAGCCCAACAGGCTCAGTGGTTTAGACCACAGCGCCACCCGCATTGAGTATGCCAGCTCTAGCCCCTGGTCGTGTCACCTTCCAAATTGCAGAAGGCAACCATGTGTACTTGTGTGGGAAGCTTTCGCATTTTAGAACCCCAGAAAATCAGCAGCCAGTGCTGGTCAGTGATGATAGGAGTTGTAGTCCATCACCATCTGGAGGGCTACAGCTTCCACACTGTCAATTACACAAGCCTGCTGCAAACACAGGTTTCAACAACTCCACACCTAGTGAATTTCCTTTTAAATGAAAGGCTGGCAATATTCTTTAAAAGTTCACTCAGTCTAGCAAAAATTATCAATGCCACTGGCCATCAACGTACAGGCTGACTAACCTCATCTTTTTCCGTTTTTAGCAACTGGTGTAGATTCCTGTTTTTGCATTGCAATTGCCTGTCCCTTTCTTGAAGTCCAACTATTTCTCTTCTAGAGGTTTCCAGCTGCTCCTGTTTAAAAAAAAAAAAAAGAGGGAGAGAGGAGGTGACCCACAATTCACTCTCACAAGTTTACCTGAAACACAACTGGCTGCTGCCAGACTACTGAGATTGTAGTGTTCGGTCACAGAAACAAGCACTTAGTATTAAGCGATTGGCTTCTATTAGTCTGAACCCCAGGGCATTAGCACAACAGCTTACCTTCACGGAATGCATTGAAATCAAGTTCTATGTTCTTCCGTATTTTAATGAAGTTATTCAATTTGCCTCCAACCTGCAGACCTGGAATAAGGGGGGACTAATCCTAGTTGCGACCCTGCGCGTTGCACAGCACACTCTGCCTTCTGGAATTAATTCATTAACACAAGGCTAGAAGTGGTAAGGCTGAGAGTCATTTATACCGCATGCAAAGTGTGCTGTGTTAACCATACTGTGTTAAAGAGAGAACCACCAGGATATCTACCATAGCAAGTGGTTTTTTAAAAAAGAGAGAGAGGTGACCATGCTCATATAGAGATAAAAGTGCCATGAGTGCCTCCATAAAATGGCTGGCATAGGCAGCAAAAAAATAAATATAAAATATAAATGTTCCAGTACTTCTTACCCGTGAATATTGTTGCAAAAAGGCCCTGCCCGTAGCGCTGCTCTGAATTAAATAAAGCGCAGTGCTATGAAGACCCAACCAAAAGGATATGGCAGTAAAAGGCCCCCTGATGTGAAATGCAACTTCAAAAATTTGCTCTAATCGCTATGAGTTTTTCATCTGATATACACACACAAAAATGCATGCCTATATCGTGGCACACAGGGGAGCTAAATGTTGCGTCCATGACAAGGCTGAAGCGAGTTCCCTTACAAAATACTGAGGGCATTCTAAGTAAGTCAGTTGACATCAAAGCGCACATTTAAAATATTCTATTTACCTGCAATAATAAATCCAAATTCTACTTTAGAAGGTAAATAGAAATCAGACCAGGTGATCAGCTCGGTATCTCAGAATAATCTTCGCCTATTGTATGCTACCAAGCCCAATTCAAGGAGTTAGCATTAAAAGCAAAATGACTCGGGGCACAAATATTTGAAAGAGCCACCTCTCCCTATTTGTGCCCCTTGTGCTAAGGTTATCAGGAAAGGCCCCTCTCGCTGTTCATTTCTTAGGGAGCAATCACTGCACAATGGCATGAGAAAGCACCTTCTCTAAGATGGCACCCTGTTTATGGAACTCCCTCCTCCTTGGAAAACAGTTTGCACCATCATTAATCTTTTGGTGCCAGTTAAACACTGAGTTGCCTGGGCTTTAAGAGGGGGTTGATCCGAGGTGGACAGTGGTAAATGGTTGGTTGTCTGCTTGGACTACTGCAATGTGCTCTACGTGGGGCTACCTTTGAAGGTGACCCGGAAACTGAAATTAATTCAGAATGCGGCAGCTAGACTGGTGACTGGGACTGGCCGCCGGGACCACATAACACTGGTCCTGAGAGATCTGCATTGGCTCCCAGTACGTTTCTGAGCACAATTCAAAGTGTTGGTGCTGACCTTTAAAGCCCTAAACGGCCTCGGCCCAGTATACCTGAAGGAGCGTCTTCACCCCCATCGTTCAGCCCGGACACTGAGGTCCAGCACCAAGGGCCTTCTGGCAGTTCCCTCATTGCAAGAAGTGAGATTACAGGGAACCAGACAGAGGGCCTTCTCGGTAGTGGCACCCACCCTGTGGAACACCCTCCCTTCAGATGTGAAGGAAATAAGCAGCTATCCTATCTTTAAAAGACATCTGAAGGCAGCCCTGTTCAGGGAAGTTTTTAATATTTAATGCTGTACTGTTTTTAACATTTGAATGGGAGCTGCCCAAAGTGGCTGGGGAAACTCAGCCAGATGGGAGGGGTATAAATAATAAATTACTACTACTACTACTATTATTATTATTATTATTATTATTATTATTATCTGCTGTCATGCTGCATTCTGATATGTTGGTGGCGTTTCAATGAATTTTATGGCTGTAACCTGCCATGGAATCAAGAGCAAACGAGCAATCCAAATAAAATAAAACAATTAATAATAAAATGTTGCACCTTTAACTTAGTATAGCTGTTCTGCAGGTGGTCCATGTCGCTACCCAGTTTTAGATGCTGGGTTTCTGTTTCTTCCTGAGCTCGCAGAGTCTTGCGCTGAAGCAGCAGCATGTCATTCACACAGTTTAAAACCGATACCACGTTTAACTCTTTGCCTCTGGAGTCTGCATAAAGCGAAGGGAAGCCCAGCGTGGTCAGCTCCTAGCGCAACAGAACAAATTCCTTTTAAACCAATCTCTGGCAACATTCAGGTCTTTATCAAACAGAGTACTATTTCTGCCATAAGGAGCAAATGGTGGGTGGGTGGGTGGGAGTGGCACATTCATTCCTCAAAGAGCATGCTTATATTTGCTACACAATTAAGTCAATTTACCCTGTTAAGATAGGAGAGGCTCTGTTCAACATTCTCTTCTGTGCAGAAGGCACTGAAAAAGCTGTGCGCACTTTTGGACAAAGGCAGTGGTGAGCAATGCGCTTGCTGTGCACTTAAGCTTGAGGGGGACATGTTTCTGCCTGAGGTATACCAAGTGATATTATCTGGAGAGGAAAAAGCAAAATATTACAAAAATATTACCAATCGTTTTTGTTTTACTCAAACATGTATACCCATCATCAGAGACCATTCAATTGGTTTCAAGGCAAGTGTAATTCCTGCGTAACAAAAATAAACAATACACAATTGAAGAATTTGGATGACTAACCAATGGCAGCTAAACGTTGGAAACCGAGAGCTATGACATCCAGCAAGCTAATTATAAGAACAATTCCAAAAGATTTGTGGCAATATCTCTCTCTGTGAAGCTTTGCATCTGATTAAATAACGAATGTGCTTTCCTTCTTTCTTATGTATAATCAATACGAGTGACCTTGTAGATACAGTATCTTATACCTTAACTTTCCCCAACAAAGCTTACTACGTTAGTCACAACATTCTGAACATACAAGACATTACAATAAATTTTCTGTTGATTGTTAGATGGAAATACTTAGCTACCCCTCTCTCTCTCTCTCTCTCTCTCTATATATATATATATATCTCACAATTCTGCAAAAACCAACTTTCTTCAGCAAAACCTATTAGAAGCAGTTACATAGTTATGCATTTCCATTTTAAAGATTAATTTAACTATTTTGTATACAGACGGTCAGTCTCAACTATCAACTGCTAAGATCTTTTAATAATTATAATCAACCCTTCCTGCATTAAGACATCCAAAATTTAACTTATGACTTCAATAATTCACCTGGAGACAGTGCTGGCACCGTAACAGTGTTCCAATCTCCCATAGCAACTAACGCATCCAGAGAAACAGATCAACTGCTTCAGCAGAGAAGCATTATGAGCCACTGCGGGTTAAATCTCCTACGTAAGCATCTCCTAAAATAGCAAGAACGTTTTAGATTAACGTGAGTATTTAAATCAAATGAGAGGCTAAAGCAGGCACAGAAGGCATTCTATGTAGTTAGAAGCCACACTCTTTGATTTTCAGATCCATGGGCCTGGCTAACAGTTTATAAACGCATCACCATACAGAGGTTTGCGATAGTTAGGTAAACCTCAAGTTACAAATCAATACTTAATCATCCATGTGAAGAAAAGGAAAAGTAACAGGGTTGCGTTAGACAAATTGCCTTATCATCCGTGTATGGCAAATGGGCTCTTATAAGCAATGAAAGCGTTTTATACATTGGAAGTTTATCAATATGCAATCACATCAACTCTGTATTCTTCACAGAGGGGGAAAAATAGAAGCATTCAGGAATTGGTGTTAATTCCTCCCCAAAAAAGTGTGCTGCACAAAGAGGGAAGAGACATTACTGACAATATTTCCATGATTTTCAAAACTGGGAAGAAAATCTGATTCACTCGAGGTCAGAATATCACATCAGAATTGAACAAAGTTGTTAGTCGATTTACCTCTATTCTTTTTTTTATGCTACCAAGCCAATTTTGCGTGGTGATTACTTCATCACTCCATGTAGCAAGAAGTATTGACGGCGTCAGGGTATAAACTTCAGAACTAGCTCCCTGAAGTGGAGAAAAACGTCAGCTTAAGCCACATTCATAGGAAAGAGCAAAACTGTCTTAAGGAAAATAACCCCGTGGTGACTTTATAATATGCTAAAAGTGAAAATGGAAATCATGAGCCAATCCTCTCACAAATAAAAGTTTATAGGGTCCAAAGTCTCCTCTACCCAGCTACCTCACCTCTGGTTATAGCAAACTCTCTCATTTACGCATCCATGCTCAAAAGATGCATAGTGGCTACCTATATTTTATGTAAGAGAGATGCTTTCTTGACATTGACATGCCAGTAGCTATTACATTTCTAGGCTCACTTCCTCCAAAGAGATCAAATTATAGGCGAAGAGGCAACCACTGACCCATGGTGACCCAGCAAGTTTTGTGGCCATATAGTGATTTGAACCCAAACACTACACCACACTGGCTTTCAATAGCCCTAGAATGAATTTATAATTTTGGGTAGTACAAAATTCAACCCAATTTAACAGTCACCAGCACTAGATGTTACTTAACTACATCTGTGTTGTACTGCCCATCTATGTTTCCTGTCACTCTATATAACATACAACAATTGATTGGTTTGCTTCAGTGTGGATTTTTGATTTGTGCCTTAGGATTCCCTCCCCAGGAATAAATATTTTCACAGAACAGAGTGAACACAGGTAAACACAAGGTTGAATTCAGACTATGAGAGTTGCAAATTTTAACTGTAGGTTTAAAAACAAATTCATATTGACAGCTTTACTGCAAGCCTTTCCATGCAGAACAGCTTGATTATAAGCTCATATGGTGCTGTAAATTATTTAGACTTGATAAATAGGTTTAAAGTGAGATTTTAGAACCCCGGCTAGTTCAGAATTAAGTGACAGAAGATAAATAGGTTCCTACAGCACTACAGTGCAATCACATTACACCATCTGCCTTTTCAATACCACATGCTGTGTCATCCAAAAAGAAAAGAGGCTTGCTCCAAGTTCTTAAAAACACAACCCCCTTTCCGCGGCAGCATATGTACCTCCCCTAACAGGGTTCAGATTATTTTGCAAATGTTGAGACAAAGCATCCATAAAACAGTTGACATCACGTAACTTTATTTCAAATCTCGTTCACAGCTGCTCATGGCTTCAGAGATTAACCATGGGTAAGGATGTATGTTAAGTCATTATAGGAGACGGTGTTGCACACCATAACTAGGAACAGCACATGGAGAACTGTGTTCTAAGATTAGATTGCAAAGAGAGTTTATAAAAGCTTAAGCCTTTCATTTGGCAAGTAATCTCCTTAATAGACAGCTCTGTTATCCGGATGAAACAAAACCAATTTTGCAAAGGATGATTTAAGGGGCCACAGAAATGATGCAATTATACAACTCTATAACTAACATTAAAATTTTCTAACAAGCTCTTTGTTTGTCTCCCGTATGTTTTATACTAGATGTCTGGGGAAGCATGAGTACTAAGCATAAGGTAGCAAGAGAAGGGGACAATAAACAGTTTATCTGCAACTGATGGACAATGTCTTTGCGCTATAACAAGAATCAGCATGCAATCTCCAGAAAGATCTGGGGAAACTGGACTGCTTAAAGGCTATACAACCACAATTTTAAAAAAGCCTGGTGGATAAAAATAAGTTTAGTAAGTACAACACTATCATTTCCATTTGTCCTTCTAATGCTAGATGATGTTGCTATTTTTTCTTTCCACCAGAGCTAAGAAAACGCACAAGAACCACACTTCGCAGCTCAAGCACAGTGTGAACTGGAAAACAACCAGGTGTAATCCCTGTGACATATACCAAACTAGCAGACAACCTTGACTGTCCCAAGCAATGATTAACCAGATCCACAAACAGCTCGCATCAACTTAAGAGGGGGGCTGGACTTAAATCTCCAAAAGCTCGGGAGTGGGGGGGAGGAGAGGCAGGGAATCCAGTTTGGCTACTTACAAGCAGACAAGAGATCAGAACTGGACGAGATACAGAGCGAAAAAACAACACGTCACCACAGGGGATTTAGGGATTAACGCTCTAGGCGGAGCCCCACCCCATCCCACCCCGTGGGCGGTGTAAGCGCACGTGGGTGCTTGAGACCCCTGTCCCCAAATTCTTAGCCTCAGGGTCGTGAGGGTTCTGCGTTGCAAAGAGAGTCCTGCATTGCAGAACGGGGTTGGACTAGATGACCCTCGTGCTCCCTTCCAAAATCTACAATGCAGTTGCAGCTCGAGCTAGCACCCCCCCCCCGCAAGGCCCGCTTCCACGTGTGCACCGCCTCCCTATGCATCTGTCTCTCCCCCCCGCCCTTGGTATTATTTCCTATTCTCCTTCCCTCCCTACCCCCCACCCACCTCGGGGTGGGGCGGGTGAGCTGCCGCCCCCCAAGCCCAAACCTGCTCCTGGGGCAACTCCGCCCACCCCACCCCACCCCCCGCTGGGCTGAGTGGCAGCTGCCCTCCCCTCACCTGCCAGGCACCTGGCGCTGCCCACCTGCTGCTGCTGCGAGAGGACAGGGGGGCGGGGCAAGCTGGCGACCTCGGCTGCTTCTACCTCCTTCGCCGCCGCCGCCGCCTCCGGCACTAACCGACCTGGCCCCGCCCACGCGCGGGCTAACTGCGCGGGCCCCGCCTCTCCCTTCCCCACGCGGCGCCCCATTGGCCGGGAGGTTGCTAGGAGACCTTTCAACAAGAGGCCCTGGGAGGCTCTGCAGCTGCTGCTGAGGCCGCCACCGCCCACCCTGCGCGCCAGAAGCGCCTTTCTCACCTGTTGCAGCGTTCCTCTGAGAAAAGGGGCCGCTTTGCATTGGGAGGCTAAGGCTATATAGAGTTTCCCAGGCTGCAGTCAGAAGAGATGAGTGTTCTGGGAGGACTAGGGAGCGTTTTAGGGGTTTTTTTTGGGGGGGGGACCACAGGATTCAAGTGATGGGGGAGAGTGTATTTTTATTTTATTTTATTGAATTTATATACCGGCCTATACCGTCTCAGGGCGGTTCAGAAAATAAAATCAAGATGTAAAACCACAAAACACATAATAATTATAATAAAAAAACACAAGCCAACAGCCCTCACCCCACAAAAAAGGAATTTTAAAGGGCATAGGATGTGTATGTGATGTGCTCGCAGTTTTATCATGATTAAAAGCTCTCCAGGGAGAAAGGAGAGAGGTGGTGACTGATTTCTGTAACCGAAACTCCTCCCCTCTGAGAAAATTTCTAATAATTTTTGTTTCGCTTCCCAATATAAGTACAGTGGTACCTCAGGTTAAGTACTTAATTCATTCTGGAGGTCCATTCTTAACCTGAAACTGTTCTTAACCTGAAGCACCACTTTAGCCAATGGGGCCTCCCGCTGCTGCCGCGCCGCCAGAGCACGATTTCTGTTCTCATCCTGAAGCAAAGTTCTTAACCTGAAGCACTATTTCTGGGTTAGCAGAGTCTGTAACCTGAAGTGTATGTAACCTGAGGTACCACTGTACAGCCGTTACCTTGAATTTTATTTTATTTATTATTATTATTATTATTATTATTATTATTGCATTTAATGATAAACTTGTAGAGTTGGACAGGAACCCCCAGGGTCATCTAGTCCAACCCCCTGCAATGCAGTAATCTCACCTAAAGCATCTGTGGCAGGTGGCCATCAACCTTCTTACTTAAAAACCTGAAGAGAGTCCACAACTCAGCCACCCAGTTCACTCTTTCACACATATAAGATGCTTTGCACCAGTTTTAGCACTGGAGCATTGCAGCAAGAGCAAAATGCTGGCCAGGTTGCCGACTGTTGCCACTGTGGTTGCTTGCAGTGTAGCAAAAGCAAACACCACTAGCCTGGTGGGGCATTTCTGTGGAATTACTGCTGTGTTACCTGGGCAGGTGGAAAAGTCAGTGCAGTGCAGGCACACTTGTCAGGACCATCAGATTTGGCTCCAGCGGTGTGTTCCCTCCATCCTGACCTTCCCCTGCCCACCTGGTCTCTCAGCATCCAGGTAAGTGGCAGCCACAGCCATGGCAGCTGCTCCTGCATTTGGGGGGGGAGGAAGTTATGCCAGTCACGCTGTTTAACACTGAGCCCTTCCTCCAAATAACAGTTTGGCAAAACTCCCCCAAATTTCACCGCCCATAAAAAAATGCAGAGAATTTCAGAAGGTTATTTTTGCTCTGTTCTAAACTGAGATCCAGTTTCTGAAGATCAGGACCACATCCTACTTTTGACCTGGCAACTGAGTTTAGTGTAAGGTAACCAGATTTCCCCCCCAATGAATCCGGGGACACTTTTCAATTTCAATGGATTTTGTATGGGGACTGATTTGTAAATCCGGGGACTGTCCCCGGGAAACGGGGACGTCTGGTAACCTTAGTTTAGTGGGAACGACTTCCGAGTAAAGCTGCAATCCTATGCAGTGTTAGGCATGCTGTGGGCTCTGAGATGCATCTGAGACCCACATGTCCATAGGAATGCAATAAGGGTGCCAGCTTTAAAAAACATAACATAACCGTCTTTTGCATAGTGCTTGATCTGCAGCAGTTAGCAGGTGGTCTTGTTTGTCTCCATGCTATGGCAACTTGACTTGCTAATCTCTGTATATCAAACTCCCTTTAAGTGGGCAATGCTATTGTTTTCTTTGTTTTGTCTGGCAGCTCTATATATGAGTCACCCATTACATTCTGGAAGAGTGAATAACTAAGGTGTGATCCCTGTTTTCCTTAAAGAACTTTTATTTCTAGAATAAAGGAGAATGCTTTAATGTTCTTCAGTCTGAGAGCCACCTTCAAGGTTAGCCAATCCTGTGAGAGCTGATGTATGTGTACACACTACATATAGGTTAAAAAAAAAGGTAAAGGACCCCTGGACAGTTAAGTCCAGTCAATGGGGACTATGGGGTGAGGTGCTCATTTCGTTTCAGGCCGAGTTAGCCAGTGTTTGTCTGCAGACAGCTTTCCAGGTCATGTGGCCAGCATGATTAAACCGCTTCTGGTGCAACTTGCACTGGGTGCTTTCGAACCCCGTTGTGTGGACTCAAACCGCCGACCTTCTGATTGGCAAGCCCAAGAGGCTCAGTGGTTTAGACCACAGCGCCACCCACTCCCCTTATACACTACATATGCACACCACACATATGACACACACACGCCCTCTAGCTGGTAATTTTTCAGGGTTTAAAATATTGTAAGTAACAGTACTTCTCTTGCCACATGTCTGCGTGGCATTTAATAGAGTTGGAAAGTATAGGAGAAACGGCATATTACTTCAGTAAGAAAGGGTACCAGAGAAGGCACTGGCAGGCAAGCAGAGGTGCCTCTGACATTCAAGCAACCTTGTGCTCTGCAGATAAAAACTAATTTGTTTGGCTGTGATTCTGCAACTAGTGTTTCAGTGTTACAGCACTGAGCCTCTGTTATCTTTAAGGTCATGGCTGCTTGTTCTTACAAAACATAAGGGAGTTTACTTTTCCAGAACTTTTTTTAAAAAAACAACAACAACTCATATAACAATTAATTAATGGATTGCGGACCATACGATTAATCAACTAAGATTTATTTAACTGGTTAATAGTCTTATACTTTGTACATAGCAAATTTCTGCACCACCCCATGGCAGCTGCTTTGTGGCATGTTGCAAGTTCCATCTTGTACCCTATGCTATTTAAAAATCTGCATGAAATCACTGGGTGAGGTGGTCTGGAATTTGGGGGTAAGGTATCATCAGCACGCTGCTGTTACAAAGCTCAGCTTCTTCCTTGGTCTCATGAGACCATCTCGGTTCTGAGTCAGGTTAGGGGTGGGCTAGATGAGGTCGAACTGAGTGAAACGTAATCCAGAAAACATGGGTGCTGATGGTGGGAGTTGCCTTGTTCTAGATAGAATTGCATTTGCCTTAAGGAGCAAGTCCACAGTTTAAGAATGTCTGGATCTGGCATTGCTTCTGAATAGCTCACATGGCAATTAGGGCTAGGAACACTTTTCACCATCTTTGTTTGGTGTCTGCTGCTGAGAAATAACGGCCCTCTAATGTCATGCATGCCTTAATATTCTTCACATTAGACTATCGTAATGTACTACACACACACACACACACACACACACACACACACATATGGCTGCTTTTAAAAACCATGTGGAAACCGCAGTTGGTCCAAAATGGGTAAGACATAACAGAATAATCAGTAGCCTTCCTTCTACATACATAACATCTGTGTCTGAATATTTTCACTGGCTCTGAATTAGTTTCAATCAGTGCTTTTTTCTAAAAAAAATAAATGTTTAGGGGTACTCTCATTTTGACTCAAGAAAATCACCATTTTATAGTTCAAATCGGGAAAAATAAATACAGTAAATGGACAAAAGTACAAAAGATTCGCAAAACGCTTAGGGGTATGCGTACCCCTGCGTCCCTCCAGAAAAAAAGCACTGGTTCATATGCACAACAAACGAAGAAGCTGATAAAAGGGAAGAGGGCAACTATGTGAACACAATGTGAAATTTAATCTGTCTCTTGTTCCACACTAGAACTATTAGTTTCTGTTTCTTAATTAAAAACAAAATAGAAAATTTGTCAGCATGTTAGTGCATCCCTCCCCCCCACCCCATACATACATTTATGTATGTGATTCTGAGTAATATACACATTTCGGCAAGCAATTTTCACTAATAACATGCATTATTATATTTTATTTTCATTAATATCTGCATTTTGTGGGCATGCACACTAATACATGCTTTTTTGGTAAATGTTATTTGGCTGAAGAACTCATCACAATCTGGAGAAGAGCAAATTTCAATGGATAATTGTGTTTTACTTTACCTAATTCCCACTTCTCCAACCAATATGCAGTTGTTATTAAAATTCCAACCAAATCTAATTTCTTCATCATCACTACTTTCTGCTAATAAAAAGCCTCCACAGAATACATCTCTGTGGTTATAAAGAAATCCCAGGCTTCCGGGTTGAAGTCAGGATTAGAAATTCAGACTGTGAAGGGTTTGTATTTCACAATCGCTGTCTTAATCTGAGTGTGCATGTTTTATGGTTACAGTTTAACTCTACCAAAACTACGTAGGATTTCATGCCCCTTGCTGAGACTGTGATATTAGTGATGAGAGTGATTTTGCAGAGGACAAAAATTATTGTCCAAAAGGCCAGCTGAATAATTATTCCTAACAGAATAGCATGAGCAAGATACACTTGAAATAGCAGATTCAGTGAAATGCAATCAGTGCTGGCAAAACAGACTTCAAAAATAAGAGGCATGTGGCACAGAGAACAATTATTAACTGTTCTAAGTTTTCTCTTGCAGAGGCTGAGGTCCTAAACATGGGCACTCAACCATTGAGAAACTAATAGAAGGCTTTTGCATTTAAATTGAAGAAAGGAATCCATATAATCCTGCGAAAAGAATGCACTTTCAGAAAGTGCTCTGCTCTGTGATCAGGGGGTCAGTATCGTTTATAAATGCTTCTGCAGTAATCTAGAAGGCTATGTTCATTTTACAACCCTAGAGATTAAATATATGGCCTCATGGTCTTGCAAATGGAAAATCCATACAGTATTTTGATAGGGTTTTTAATACTGCAGAAATACTAATCTCCTGGAATGGTCATTGGATATTAAATGCTTTGCTCTCTGAACTTACTCCCTGAGCTACACAACATTATAGCT